GCAAGGAGGAAATACACAAAGCAATTAGGACAGTGCCTGGCAAGTAGAATGTGCTGGGCACCATGCAGTTAGGTCTCACAACCGTCCTTTCTAGGTGAGGTGCAGGGTGGATAAGCAGGCTAGAGAACACCACACCCTGGTCAGGTGCTGGCTTCTGCGCTCCCCCTCGCTGCAGTGTCTGCACACACAGCTCTCAAGGAACACGAGGGTGGGATTCAGAAGCGGAAATGAAGCCTGCAGACTGCTAACCCCTGGCTTAGGTCTTGGTCCCCTCAGCATCTCCCTCTGGGGGCTGAATCTCTTATGCATTCCTGACATAGCCCCAGCACACTTGTCCACTTGTGGGCTGGCGAGAGGGGCGGCTGGAAGATGCACCATGTCAAGAAGTGGGTTGTGTTTGCAGGGCCCCCTGGGGAGGAGCAGGAGTCACACGTGAGCTGGGGCTGCCCAGTCCTTGTGTCCTGACTGTGGGTTAGTTGGTCACCATCCCCCCATCCTGACCCTTGATAAAGAGCTGATTTTTCCATGTAGTGTTTGTCTCTCCTCTGTGCTAACGTGGAGGCCTGAACACCGCCGAGCTTATCTATACAATGGACTTCCTGCTGGTGTTGGCTCTGCCCTGCTCCCCACTGGGTAATAATTTATGTCACCTGATCACACAGATATGCTGACATCCATGATACTGGTGGCCCTGGCAGACCCTGGCTCCCCTAGTTTGGGTGGGAATCTGTAAACGTGAATCCCCAACTGGCGTGAACTGAACGTCCCAGTTGTGGATGCAGAGCCAGAACTGGGTAGGTGGAGAGGGTGTGGAGAGTTCATCCATCACTTATCAATTGAGGCCTCCTAGGTGGCAGGCCTGGTACTGGGCTCTGAACACACAGAAATGCAGAGGACAGGGGCAGCCTTAGAGGAACCCTTGTACTGGCTGTGGGTCAGACACAGACAATATGACCCGCAGAGCTTGTTCTGGGGAAGCAGGAAGGATAGAGCTCACGGGAGCACAGGGAAGGAGCATACAATCTCATTGAGTTTTAATGAAAAGCTTTCCTTCCTTGGACATAAGGCCTGGCTGGGTCTGAGGAAACAGCTCCTTCAGATCGAGTTACCACAACCCTTTGCATCTGTGGTCTGTTTGGACCACATCCAGTGTCCAGAGTGTCTACAGTGGGCATGCTGGGGAAGTCCTCCTCTCTCCCACTCCTCTGCCTGGGCATGTGGCTGCCGTGGTATTTGGCCTCTTGTCAGAACACCGAGTTCCCATATTAATCACAACAAGTACGTCCAGAGAAAACCTGGCCTGGCCTCTGCCAACAAGCCATCTCTCTGGCCTCGATAACATCTGTACCAAATTTTCTCCCTTTATATAATTAGGCCCGTTGGTATTTGCTTTGCCTTTAGATTACGGTATGACTGGCATCTCTGAAATTTCAGGCCCGAAATATGTACTGGGGCCCAGGATGGTGGGAAAACTGAGCTTTTGCCAATGGGATTTTAGGTTTAGCCAAGAGAATCAGAAACTATACACCAGCTACTGTTTGCCCGAAAAATGCACGGCAGCCCCCTGACCGGTGGGAAAGGGATCTCCTGCCTTGTCCAGGGAGCAGTGCTGTGTTGGACCTGGTGGACAGAAGGATGCAGGGGCCTCCCTTCCTTCTTTCCTGCCCCTCTTCACCCCACATCCTTCTACCCCTGCTCCATCCGTGGCCCCAGAGGGACAGAACTCAGCAAACAGGAAAAGATGTGCTAACTGCAAAGAAATGCAGTGAATCCAGACTTAACCCCAAAGCAAACCTCACCAGTGTCGGGGCTTGGAGTCGTGCTTTGAAATGACTGTCATTGTCTGGCTATGTCCAAGCCAAGGAGCTGTTTGTGGAGAGTGAGGTAGAGACTAGTGCTGGGCTTGGGAAGTGGGGCTGTATCCAGAGAGGAAGCACATGGGCTTGCACACCCACTCACTCCCTGAAGCCTTGAGCTGGATCTCAGTGGTGACTTCATTTCCCCTAATTAGGTGTCTACAAACTCTCTGGAAGGTTCCAACCAGTAAGCCACACTGATTGTGGTGTGGGAGCTCCTGATATGCTTGTTTGCACTCTCCCTCTGGGACCCTGCAGGCCCAGCTGAGTGATAACTGGATGATGGAACATTTGCTAGAGGAAGGGGAATGTGTTTTTTTAAGATAAGGTTTGATCTCAAGCAGAAGGACAGTTACCAGATGCCTCTGCAATGTCAAGAACTGAGGAGTGGGTGCAGATGCCCTTGCCTGTTGCCTTGCTGCGGGTAGTCAGATCCCCCAGGCAAACTCCTGCCTCAGGAAAGAGTTTCTTCTGATGCTTTCAGTCGGAGTATTGCCATTTTCCTCTGGTTTTAGACAGTATTGGTGCTCCTCGTAAGGTTTTCTATGAATGAAGAGGCTTTTGCCCAATATAGCTATCCTAGGTCATCGTGTGTCTTCCCTGGGGAAGGATCCTTGTCTTTTTAGCATGCAGTGTCCATTGAGGACCGAGTGTGGGACTTGTGCAGAATCCTGTTTTGTCACCTCTGCCCACATGGCCCAAATGCCAACAGGACCAAGGTCGTAAAATATGCCTTTGGCACTTAAGACTTTCACCAGCTGGGTGCGGTAGCTCACGCCTGTAATCCCAGCACTTTGGGAAGCCAAGGTGGGCGGATCACCTGAGGTTGGGAGTTCAAGACCAGCCTGACCAACATGGAGAAACCCCATCTCTACTAAAAATGCAAAAAAATTAGCCAGGCATGGTGGTGCCTGCCTGTAATCCCAGCTACTCAGAGGCTAAGGCAGGAGAAGCACTTGAACCCAGGAGGCAGAGGTTGCAGTGAGCCAAAATTATATCATTGTACTCTAGCCTGAGCAACAAGAGTGAAACTGTGTCTTTAAAAAAAAAAAAAAGACTTTCACCATTTGGCTCCAGACCAACTCTCTTTTCTCTCCTTCCCGTCTCTTCTCCCAAAGTATCCTTCTCTCCATCCACCTTAAGCTTCTTTCTCTTTCTCTTTGAAAAGGGCAGTTACCTCTGTTGAAATGTTCTTTTTTCTTTTTTATTCCTGGCAAACCAGAAGCAGTCCAACACGGTGGGCTTTGGAATCAGACTACCCGGGTTTGAATCCCAGCTCTCCCCCTTTCAATCTGTAAAAGCATGAGCCAATTAAGCCACTGCTTTGTGCCTCAATTTCCCCATTTGTGAAAGGGGCACCATAATAGTTGCTTAGATTTGTTGTGATGATTAAGAGCTAAAACAAAGAAAGCACTTAAAACCGTTTGATCCATAGTAAGTGCTCAACAAATGTAGGCTAAAGTAATAATGTTAAAGACTCTCTGTGAAAATCCTTTCCAACCTACCAGGCAGGATTAGCTTTTCCCTCTGGGCTCCAGAAAAAAACAGCCACGTGAGGTTCTAGTTATTTATTTTATAAGTTGTGTGTTTTACCCCTGCCTGACAATTCCCAGAAGACAGGGCCTAGGTTTCAGCAATAAGAATGACACCATTTACACTAGTACGTGTCAAGCTCTGTACCATGTTTTTTTCTCATGCACTGTTTTTTATTATGACATAATTCACATTTACCCTCTTATCATACACAATTCGGTGGTTTTAGTATATTTACAAAGTTATGCAACCATCACCACTATCTAATTCCAGAACCTCCCAAAAATATACCCTGTGTCCATTAGTGGTCATTCCCCAATTCTCCCTCCCCCATTTACTGGCAATCACTAATCCACTTTTGTCTCATAGATTTGCCTATTCTGGACATTTCATATAAACAAAATACAATATGTGTCCTTTTGTATCAAGTTTCTTTCACTTAGCACAGTGTTTTTAAGGTTCATTTGTATATTCGAATTTCTTTCCTTTTCATGGCTGAATAATATTCCATTGTATGGATATACAACATTTGGTTTCTTCATCAGTGGTGGCCATTTAGGTTGCTTTTACTTTGGGGCTATTATGAATTATGCTGCCATGAACAGTTACGTACAGGTTTTTGTGTGAACATGTTTTCTTTTCTCTTGGGTATATATATCTAGGAGTGGAATTGCGGGCTCCTATGGTTTAAACCTCTATGTTTAACTTTTGGAGGAATGGCCACACTGTTTTCATGTATCTGCACCAATTTATTTTCCCACCGGCCATGTATGAGGGTTTCAGTTTTTCCATATCCTCACCACACTTGCTGTTCTCTTTTTTATCATAGTCATCCTAGTAGGTGTGAAGTGATTTCTCACTGTGGCTTTAATTTGCATTTCCCTGAAGGCAAATGGGGTTGAGCATCTTTTCATGTACTTAGTGACCATTTGTATATCTTCTCTGAAGAAAGGTCTTTGCCCAGTCTTTAGTGGGGCTATTTGTATTTTTATTATTGAGTTGTACATCCTTTATATATTGTGGATACAGGTCCCATATCAGATATATGATTTGCAACTATTTTCTCCCTTCTCTGTAGTTGTCTTTTCACTTTCTTGATGGTGGTCTTGGAAGCACCAAGTTTTAATTTGAAGTCCCATTTATTTTTTCTTTAGTTGTTTGTGCTTTTCCTGTTATATCTAAGACACTATTACTTAATTGAAGACCACAAAGATGTACCATATGCTTTTTAAAAGTGATCTTATTTACAATAACCTTATGAGCAGAGTAGTAGACCCACACAGATAAGGAAACTAAGTGGTCAAATACTGGAGCTGGGACTTAACCCCAGTTCACTTTGACTCTGAACTTCATGTGCATCTTACTGTGCCTCCTTGCCAAGTCCCTTTACCTCTGCACTCCTCACAGGGCTTGGCGCAATGGCTGGTGCGTGGTAGGCCCACAGGTAAGGTACATTGGGTGGATGAATGACAGGCCCTAACAGGTACACAGCTTGCACTTGCTGGTTGGTTCAGGAAGAGTGGGGTTTGTGCCTCAGTTTCCCTGCTGACTGGGGGTTCGTGTCTGTGATGCTAGAGGTTACCAAGACTCTCTCCTCTCTCACCTCTGCAGTGTCTCATCGTTGGGGGAGGACCCTGTGGCTTGCGCACTGCCATTGAACTTGCCTACCTGGGAGCCAAAGTGGTCGTGGTGGAGAAGAGGGACACCTTCTCCCGGAACAATGTGCTACACCTCTGGCCTTTCACCATCCACGACCTTCGGGGCCTGGGAGCCAAGAAGTTCTATGGGAAGTTCTGTGCTGGCTCCATCGACCATATCAGTGAGTGGAGTCTATAGTGATATCCCATGAAGGGAGGGGACTGACCCTGGGTAAGACATATCTCTGCATGTGTTGGAGCCCCAGCTTGTTCCATCTTAGTCCCTGGGGGCACCATATATCAGACTAACAGACATCTAGTAAAAGGCCTGCTTTGTGCCTTGTTCTGGGCCCTGGGTTATCCCCCAGTGGACTGTAAGCACCATGAGGTCAGGGACTGTAGTATGCCTTAATTACCAGACTATCTCCAGGACGTGAAAGAATGCTTGACTCATAGCGGATGCTTGATAAACATCTGTTGGATGAATGAGTGAAAGAGGGAAACAGAGACAGAGGTAAATAGCGTAGTCTGTACCCTGACGGAGCTCATTGAGATTTTGTCGGTGGTAATGTGCTTTAATAGGGTTAGTTACACTTGCTAAAGGAATATGGAGGAAGGGGCCACACAAAACCATTAATGGGCCAGATAGTCAAGACCCTCCATACAAAGGAGTTTGGACATTGTGCTAGTGTTGCTGGGGAGCCATGGCAGGTTTTAGAGCAGAGGAAAGAAACAATTGGCTCCTTGTTTCCTGATGGATCCCATACCAAAGTTTTAAAAATCCGAGCTTTAAAAAGAGAGAGAGAACATCATGGTGGGACTTCAGCCAGAATAGGAAGGAAAATAGAGAACGTGGACTTCAGGTCCTGGGCATCCCTGAATGCTCATATAGGGAGAGATGAGTGCCGAGGCCCTTCTGCTCTGATGTTCCTCAAGCCTGGAGCTCTCAGGACTAGGTATGTGCAGACAGGTTTTGGGAAAGGCAGACTCCCTTCCTGCAGCTTTGCAGCGGGGAGGTCTTTAGCTGTTTTCTATGCAGCTGACCCTTGACCAACACTGGTTTGAACTGCAAGGGTCCACTTATACCTCAGTTTTCTTCAACGAAACACCTGCAGGAGGTAAAACCCACCTATATAGAAAGCCGACTTTTTGTATACTTGAATTCCACAGGGATTTAAGTATGCATGGATTTTGGTATACTCAGGGGTTATAGGACTTAAGTATGCATGGATTTTGGTATACTCAGGGGTTCTCCAGCATATACTCAGGGATGATTTTATAGCAATAGTGACCCATGAAAGGGAGGTTAACACTATGGGGAAACCTCAAGAGTTTGAACAGATTTGGGTCCAAAATATGTCTCTTCCATTTCTATGTGACTTGGGGAAAATCCCTTACACTCTTCAAGCCTCAATTTTATCTCCTGTAAAGTGTGATTAATTTCTGTCTCCTAGAATTACTGAGAAGATTAAATGAGGTCAAGTTTGTAATGTGCTTAGCACTGTGCCTAGCACATAGTAAGTGCTCAGGAAAATGCTTTGCATCCCATGCTGTACAGTGAGCAAGAAGCAGCCATGGTCCCCAGACTTCAGAATTAAAAGCTGCTTTCTCCCAACCAGTGTTTCTCTGTAGAGATGGTTGGGAGGAGGGCCCTGAGAGCCATGTTCTTATGAGGACAAGAATTGATGGGAAAAAGGAATGAGGCTTGGGCGGGAACAACTGGAGAGAATTATCAGTCACGTAGGGTATAATTTATTCAGACACAGGAGAATTTACCAGCTGTGGCCCCAGAATTTATTCCCACTTTGAGATGAGAAAATTCCAGGAGTCTAGTGGAAATTTGGATTTACTCAGAGAGCTGCAGTGTCAGCTTTCAAGATATGCTCTCCCACCCATGGAAGAATGTATGTCGGTTACCAATTTAGAACCACTGTATTGAGCACCGCTTTCTCATCAAGTTTTCTTGTGGGGCAGAGCCAGGTACCAGGATGCCTTGTGGGGCCCTGGGCTGGTTGGGCTGGCTTCCTGGCCAGGAACCCTTCTCTGCCCTCATTGACGGGGCTTTAATTGAACCCCTAGTCCTTGGAAATACTGCAGCGTGCCGTAGTGCTGGTGGGACTCTAGAAATAACATGGAGACAGTCAGAATGATCATTGTCAAGGGTAGCTCTAGTACTTGTGAGAAAGGAGGCAAGGAGAATTTATTGAGCGCCTACTGTGCGCTGGAACCAGACTGAGTAGGAACCTCATAACTATAAGGAGAGGTCAGGCCTCCCCTGGTAGGGTGGAGGAGGTGGATTGGGCTTTTTAAGCTGATTGGCTTTGGATCACCCCAGCCACATCTCTAGCCCCAGCTGCATCATCATACTCAGCACTGCTCAGCAGTTCTCCGTGTCTGTGTTAACATCCTCCTCCACTTCCCAATGTGGCCATTCCAAACCTCCAGCACGGTGACCTCATTCCTAGCAGATGGCCTCCCTCCAGTGCTCCTGGTCTAGGCCCACTTCTCTCTGCTGCTGCCCCAGCACCCATTCCTTCCTCGTGTGTCATGCCAAGTCACAGCTGGCACCTCCTTTCCAGTTCTAGTCCCTCTGGCTTCCTTCCTTCCTTTCCACCTGCCCTGTCACTGAGTCTTCCTGCTCCTCCCCTCATGCCAGACCTCCAGCCCTATTGTTGCCCCACCACCTTTCCTTGCCATAAGGTATTTATTCTAGAAAGAAGGGCATAGACTTGGTCTATACTTTCCATTCAAACCTCCTAACCTCGCAGTCTGCTGTGTTCCCCACCACTGTGCTAAAGAGATTTTCACCAGGGTCTCCAAAAGCTCCCACACCCCCAAGTTCACTGGCCTCTTGTCACCTTCACAGTCCTTCATCTCTCTGTGGGATTTGATATTCTTAGTCCCTCCTCTCTTGGCTTTCAGGACCCCAACTAAGGCCCTGTTCTACCACCACCACCCTCCCCCAACCACCATGCCTTACCCCATTCTGTTTACCTATGTTCCCTCCATTAGAAGGTGTGTTCTGTATCTCCTGTGCCTAGCATGGCACCTGGCACAGTATAGATGCTCAATAAATGCTAAATGAGTCAAGCCCACCAAATACAGAAGGGCCCACAGAAAGTTTCAAACTTCTGGTTGGGCATGGTGGCTCACGCCTGTAATCCCAGCAATTTGGGAGGCCGAGGCGGGCAGATCACAAGGTCAGGAGATCGAGACCATCCTGGCTAACACGGTGAAACCCTGTCAATACTAAAATTATGAAAAATTAGCTGGGCATGGTAGCGAGTGCCTGTGGTCCTAGCTACTCAGGAGGCTGAGGCAGGAGAATGGCATGAATCTGGGAGGCGGAGCTTGCAGTGAGCCGAGACTGCACCACTGCACTCCAGCCTGGGCAACAGAACGAGACTCCATCTCAAAAAACAAAACAAAAAACAAAACAAAACAAAAAAAAGTTTAAAACTTTTCACTCTGCAGAAAAGTATTTGGAGGCATACCCATTCGTGCTGAATGGCAGGAGACAAAACAGAGAAATGAGATTCCACTCACTGCGGGAGTTTTGAAATGTGGGTAAGAGATGGGGAACCATGACCCAGCTTTGTGGGGAGAATTTCCTACCCACTCCTCACCACTGGATGTCTAAGAGCTGAGGCATAGGCCCCATATAATGAGTCACTGATCAAGTACTTCACTGAGGCCCTTTACTCTGTCTTTGCCTACTCCTCTTTCCATCTTCACTTCATCAAACCTAGAGCCCAGCTAGGGAAGGAGGCTGAAAAGACAGAGTCTCTCTTGTTACAGCATCATCTAGCAGCTAGAACAGGGTCTAGAAATTGGACCGACATGGGTCCACGTTCTAGCTTTGCTCTGTGTCTCCTTGAGCAAGTCACTTAAGCTTGTTAAGCCTCAGTTTCTCATCTACAGAATGAGAATAACAATTCCAAAGGGCCACTGTAAGAGTTAGACGAGAAAACGTAGAGCTCTTGGTGCATAATCCGGCTCAATAATGATCATTGTTGGTATATTGCTGTGCTCAAAGGTCACTGAGCAGCAGTGATTACGTAGCATTCTGCATATAGGTGGTGTTCAGGCATTGCTGTGACAGTTCCTCTCTCCTTCCTGCCTGACAGGTATTCGCCAACTACAGCTCATCCTGTTCAAGGTGGCCCTGATGCTGGGAGTTGAAATCCATGTGAATGTGGAGTTTGTGAAGGTTCTAGAGCCTCCTGAAGATCAAGAAAATCAAAGTACAGTATAATGTTCCTTTTCTGCCTAGAAAGCAGATACTACAAAATAGAAATCCCATTTGCTGCTTCCAGAGGGTGTTTCTGTAAGAGTTATTCTTATTGAGAGCTGGTTGGCATAACGCCACTGAAGAGTATTTTACTGTTTTTTGTTTGTTTGTTTGTTTGTTTGTTTGTTTGTTTTACCATTGCTATGACTTTAGGTTTGCCCTTTGGTTCCGAGGGGATTTATGATTAAGCCCTTAAACCTATAATTTGGTTACCCTGTCCCAAGGGGATGCTACTTTGGCAAAGGAAATCTAATCAATAAGTAGGACAGAAGACACAGATTTGGTTGTTTGGTAAGGTTCATTCACGTGTTCTTCACGCTGTGTGTGTGTTTCACACATAGATATGTGGTTGTACTTGTTATACCCATGGCACATTTTAAAATCCAGTGAAGTGAAGCTTCTAGAGCAACTGTGAAATAAGGTTCAAGATGTTATTTTATATATAATACTCTCAACCATATTGAGGTATCATTTATAAACTATGATAGTCACCCATATAGGCATATCTTAATGTTTCTCTTTTTTCCTTTTAGCATATTTGTTTAAATTCTTATCCCTTACACACACCATGGTCAGAGAGTTTATTCCGGATGCCTTTGCATCTTACTTATTATTAAAATCATCTACTGCCTGGGAAGGGCTTTGAGTTTGGGACCAGCTTAGTGTCAGAGACCTTGTAGTTCCCTGCTTAGGGTACATTTCTGTTTTATCCTGTTCTCTGCCCGGATTATTTGAAAATTTAGGGAAGGCTTTAGTTAGCTTTTGGAGCAGGACAGCATTCACCATTTGGCATTCAGAGACTGTAATCTTAACCTTTTCCAGACCTCTAGTGGACATTAAATCTTAATTATCCAGGCTTCACCTGAATTTTTTAAAAAATAAAAGACAGTGTACTGTACAATAGAACATTTTGAGCATGCAATAGAAATTAAAACTGGTTTCCTTACACCCTACACATCCTTTTGGGTCTGTTTAGCAATGAGAATCACTGAAGAATGTGGGAGAAAGTGAAGAGAAGATGGTGGACTCTGTTGAGAAAAACAAGGTGCAAATGAGAGTAGTTTATGGAGCACTGAGGATAGACTCCTAGCGGAGGCCAGCAAAACCAGGCATGGAGTTGGTGTTGCTGGTTTACTTCATCCTGGATATAACTGACACTCAGGTCAGAGGACACCAGATTAGAGAGTGAATCTGGACTGCTCTAGCCTTTCCCCTGGAGGCTCTCTCTGGGATGCATAGACCTGGCTGCACTGTCCATTTCTCACAGCCACCACACGGGGGTTATAATCACTCTCTTCCCACCTCTCTCTGCCAACTCATCTCATTTCTCTGTCCTGGTAGAAATTGGCTGGCGGGCAGAATTTCTCCCTGCAGACCATTCTCTGTCGGAGTTTGAGTTTGACGTCATCATTGGTGCCGATGGCCGCAGGAACACCCTGGAAGGTGAAGACTCTTCTTGTGGGAATAGGGGGATGGGAATGGGAGAGGGTACATTGGGGAAGAGTTGGAGAAAGTGGGCAAGATGCAGATGCCAGAGCTGGATGGAGGTCTTGATAGGAGGGCAGACTGTCCTGTCCCTCTCAAGGTAGAGCAGCCCATCCACCTGTGGGGTGGGCAGTTCAGGGGACAGCCATCTCATTCCGTCTGAACCTCAGTTTTCTCACCTGTAAGATGTGGATCACAGAACCCTTTCAAAGTGTTGTTATGCGGGCTGGGAAAGGACTAGTGTGTGAAAATGCTTCATAAAGATAAAGTGCCGTGGGGGAGAAAATGAACATCCCTTATTGAGCACCTCCTGGAGGGTGAGCCGTGGTGCCAAGCACTTTCATACTTACTTCAGCTAAGATAAACATTTTTATAATACTATTAATGGTATTCGCTTACTTTCAAATGTAATATTTATACTTGAAGGAGGAACTCACTTCTTTTTGTAACTTTTAAGTACACCCACAGCTGGGCAGGCAGGTATGTCTTGCCAAACTGTCAAGGTACAAAGACCACACTTCTCTGAGTTCTAAAGCTGAAGCATAGTATCTTTCTTGGGGTAAGATCCAGTCAGGTTTGAGAGAAACCCCATTGCCAGGAAATGCTTCCACCCCCTCCACCCTAATGCCAAGGTTGTACACCCACAGGCTGTACTCATTGATACTAACCATGCTAAATTGAGACCACGGGTTGTAAACAATGTGGCCCCAGATGGCATCTCTTAGATTAGGGCAGTTCTGCTTTTTGAGCCTGCCACCTCAAGAGCCACAGGCTGCAGATGCCTGACTGAGAGGACACATCACTCTGAGGATGGGACATGCTCCCTGGAACAGGGCTGATCTTAGAAAACTCAGGATTTATGGGCCGCCTGGCCCAGGACCTTCCCATCTGCCACATAACCGGGGCTGTTTACCATCCCCCTTTCACCTTCCATATCCACCTCCCCAACCATCAGTCATCAATACCTTACAGGCAAACTGCCGACTTGGATGTAGTACTGTTGGAATTTGCACATTTGATAACAGTGTAAGTTAGAATATTTGAGAATCCAGGACCCATTGTCAGCTTGGGTATAGTTGGGCATTTCATGAACATGGAAAGAAGGGTGGAAATTGATGGAGCCATTTGAGCCACTCAGGGCCAAACAGGTAAACTAGAGCAGGGCTTCTCAGTATCAATACTGCAGACATTTGGGACCACACCATTCTTCGTCACAGAGACTGCCCTGTGCATTGCAGGGTGTTTAGCAGCATCCCTGGCCTCTGGTCCCCCAGACACTGGTAGCACCCCTAGGTGCGACAACCAAATATGTCTCCACACATTGCCAAGTGGCTTCTGGGAACAAAATCACCCCCAGCTAAGAAATGCTAGATGAGAATAATGGCCCTTGCTGACCCTTTTGACAAAGGTCTAATGAAAGACAACTTAAAGGAGGGCTATTGAATAGAAACCCAAGGTTGTTGGCCAGGCGCAGTGGCTCATGCCTGTAATCCCAGCACTTTGGGAGGCTGAGGTGGGTGGATCACGAGGTCAGGAGATCAAGACCATCCTGGCTAACACGGTGAAACCCTGTCTCTACTAAAATACAAAAAATTAGCCGGGCACGGTGGCTCACGCCTATAATCACAGCTACTCGGGAGGCTGAGGCAGGAGAATCGCTTGAACCCAGGAGGCAGAGGTTGCAGTGAGCCAAGATCACACCACTGCACTCCAGCGCAGGTGACAGAGCAAGACTCCGAAAGAAAGAAAGAGAGAGAGAGAGAGAGAGAGAGAGAGAGAGAGAGAGAGAGAGAGAGAGAGAGAGAGAGAGAGAAAGAAAGAAAGAAAGAAAGAAAGAAAGAAAAGAAAGAAGGGAGGGAGGGAGGGAGGGAGGGAGGGAGGGGAGGGAGGGAGGGAGGGAGAGAGAGGCAAGATTGTCACTAAAAGGGATTTTTGACAGATAGTTGAGGGAAACCCAAGATTGTCACTAAAAGGGATTTTTGACAGATAGTTGAGAATCAACGTGAGGCTGGAGTATATGGCGAGCAGGTGTGCAGGGTATTCCCAAAGGTGGCTAAGGAAAGGTTATATCTGGAGGTCTGCACCTGTGTGACAGGCACCTGGCGTTACACCAAGTACACAGCATGCCTGGGGCAGGGGCACTCAGGAAAGGTCAGATGACAGCAAGATGGGGGACTAGAAGGGAGACACACTGTTGAAAAGTGACCATCTGTTATGTCGAACCCCTATTAACCTCAATAGGGAAAGTACCAAGTTCAAGAGGCCAAAGAAGAGACCAAGAGCCAGCCAAATAGACATGGGGTTTTATTAGGGATTCACAAGGGAGAGAGTCCAGTGGCGGTGGGCTGGACAGGTGACCCGGCTTTCCTACAGAAATGGTCCAATGGCGGCGGGCTGGACAGCACAACCTCACAGCCCAGTGGTGGCAGCCCAGGCAGGAAAACCACAACTGCTTGCAAACAGCGGGCAGTTTATACAGCATTTTCACTTAACACCCTCCTCTTAACCTCCACCTGGCAACCTTCATCCAACCCTGAACTCAGGGCCTGGATCCCCCTGTATGGTCCATGTTCCACAGGATGGGCCAGGAGCTCAAATGTCCCTCATAGAGAAGGAACAAGTTTTGGGGTTGGCCACTCCTGGATTCCCCAGCTCAGAACACACATTCAAGTGCATCAGCCGTACAGGATCATTCTAAAGGTATGCTTCAGTTATTGCTGTCCGGTGCATTTACCCTGCACCAGCTGCTATGATCCTGCATAGCACTGCCATTCAAGAGCAATTTTAATGTAAATCATTGAAAACAAGAATTAGAGCACTAAGGCTGGGCAACATGATGAAACCCTGTTTCCACAAACAGTTTTAAAAAAAAATAAGCCAGTCATGTTGACACATGCCTATTGTCCCAGCTACTTGCCAGCTGAGGTGAGAGGATCGCTTGACCCTGGGAGGTCGAGGCTGCAGTGAGCCATGATTGGCACCACTGCTCTCCAGCCTGGGCAACAGAGACCCTGTCTGAAAAGCAAAGCAAAACAAAACAAAAAACGAATGAGAGCTAGAATGCCATCTATTCATTTATATATGCATTGCAGATGTACTAAGTGCCACTTACTGGGAACTGGTGCACTATTTTCCTCTTTTCAAAGGACAGCAGTCATACTGGAGTAAGCTGGGTCCCACCCTACTCCAGTATGACCATTTCTTAGCTAATTACACCTGTAATGACGCTATTTCCAATACAGTCACATACTGAGGTACTGGGGTTAGGACTTCAACACATGAATTTGTGTGTGTGTGTAGGAGAAGGACATAATACAGCCCCAAAAAATGGAGATACAAAGAAACTTTGTTAAAATCCCTGTTCTGCAGGAATTCAAGGTAATCTACTTTTCAGGGGGGCCAGGGCTGGTGGCACCATGAGAAATGCTAACAGAGTAGTTTTAATCCTGTAAATTCAAAGTGTGTGCGGGTCTCTCATGAGTGTATCTAGCAACAATGCCTGACACATCCTTAAAAGGGTGCGCCCTGTGACTGCCTGTTGGGAAGGATCCCTTTGGCCTTCTGTTTGTTGAAGCCTAATCAAGTCCTATAGGTTTTAGAAAAGGACAAAATCTCACGGACTTTTAAAGGCCTTGGGAGCAAACCTCAGCATTTCTGCCCGCTCCTGTCCTCTAGAGATCCAGAATCCTGGTTTCTCCGGCCTGGGAGGCATCTGGGAACAGCTATCCCAATAATCATTTTCAGTTTTCACACCAAATCCAGAAGAGAGACCCACTTTTTCCTTTCTCCTCATGCAGGGTTCAGAAGAAAAGAATTCCGTGGGAAGCTGGCAATTGCCATCACTGCCAACTTCATAAACAGAAACAGCACAGCAGAGGCCAAGGTGGAAGAGATTAGCGGCGTGGCTTTCATCTTCAATCAGAAATTTTTTCAGGACCTTAAAGAAGAAACAGGTGGGACCTTCACCTTTCTCCCAACCAGGCCAAGGTCTAAAGTTTGCAGTTTCTAAGGTGTACAGAGGCGTATGCTGGCTTTCTGGGCTCTTGGGCTTGGAGGGACTCACTCTGATAGAGTGGAAGTAACGATTTTCCCTAGGACAGTGAATACAGACAGGATTCCTTCTGGGACAAGAGAGATTCTTGAGGGAATGTTCTAGATGTTGTACATGAAAGGAGATAGTGGACATTTGCTGAGTGCTCATTACGTGTCAATTCTCAGTGTTGTGGGGTACAAAGTGGAGGTTGACACGATCCCTCCCACAGTGGTTCCTTGTCCAGTAAGGGATATCTGTGTAAACCATCCTAAGGCAAGTGGCCAGCACTGCGCCCGAGGTCAGCAGGATATTTAGGGAATGCTGAGAAGGGAGCCAGTCACCTATGGATGGTTCCTGAAGGTTCCCAGGTGCTTTTGTGCAATGCAGCAGCTGCCCTTCCCCAAGAGGGACATCCAGGTATGCCCAGGAACATAACCTGTACTGGCACCAGTTGTCACCCAGCCACGGGCCTAGAGGATAGGAGGTATTGATTCATTCACTCAGCTAATACTTAGTGAATGCCTACTATGTGCCAGATGCTGTTCTAGGGCTTGAGAACGAGCAGTGAGCAAAACACAATCCCTCCCTCTTGGGCTTATGTTCTACGAGAATAGACGGTCAAAACACAAATAAACCAGTGACTCATCAGGTGGCAATAGGGACAGCAGAGAAAAACAGGGTGAGGGGAAAGGGGGATGAGTCGCCTGTCTCCAATTAAGCAAATTCCAGATATTTTTCCTTTCTTCTTAACCTGATTAAAAACATCTATTTCGGCCGGGTGCGGTGGCTCATGCCTGTAATCCCAGCACTTTGGGAGGCCAAGCCAGGTGGATCATGAGGCCAGGAGATCGGGACCATCCTGGCTAACATGGTGAAACCTCATCTGTACTACAAATACAAAAACTTAGCGGGGCGTGGTGGCACACGCCTGTAGTCCCAGCATACCCAGGAGGCTGAGGCAGGAAAATCACTTGAATCCGGGAGGCGGAGGTTGCAGTGAGCCGAAATCGCACCACTGCACTCCACCCTGGTTGACAGAGTGAGACTGTCTCAAAAACCAAAAACAAAAAACCCCCACATATTTCTCCTTGAAAAGCAATGGAACAACAATGTTAAATAAAATCTTTATACAGAAAATAAATCATCCACAATCTGACCACCTCACACAGGAATAGTCTTCAGACTCACCTACTCCTTTTCTGTCATTTTCCACCGGCGTGCTTGCTTGTTACGTGACTGCAGCTCAAATCACGGTGTCCACACTATTCAGCTTTTCTCATTCAGCGTCACATTCCAAACATCATCCTCCTGGTGGTCACTTTTAGGGGCTGTGGAAGATCTCATCAAATTGATGTATTGTCACTGCCTAAGCATTGAAACCAAGGATTAGCAAACTATGGCTGGCCACATGGTTCTATACTGCCTTCGAGCTAAGAATGGTTATATATATAGGCTGAAGAAAACAATCAAAAAAATATTTTATGATACATAAAGATGATTTAAAAATCAGATTTCAGCATCCATAAATAAAAGCTGATGGTCACCCAGCCACACATTTCTTTACATGACTGCTGATGGCTGCTTCCACCATGAGAAGTCATGAAAGATACTATAGGGCCCACCGGCCAGAAATATTTCCTAGCTGGTCTGTCACACACACACACACAGACCTGCTGACCTCTGATGTAGGCCTTCCAGTTATTTACTGTTAGAGATATTTAAGATCATTTTCTAGGAATGGCATTAGTTGTTGAGCGAGATTGTACCTCTCACTGGCCACGAGGGTATGTGCCCACTGCATGACCCTCTGAGTTTCACCTCCATTGCATTATTTCATTAAAAGCTTGAATATTTCCTGCCAACATATGGTGTCCTTTTGAATGATTTGAGAATCCTCCAACCCTCCCTTCCCCTAAAACCCAAGAAAGTAACTATTTAAGCCACTCAATATAAATGAGAGCAGGACATTGAGTGTGTTTTTCCACGTTTCAGTGAACTTCCTTTAAACTTTGCTGTGGTTGTCACCTTCGGCCATTGTTTCACAACAGTGCCCTCAGACAGTGACAGTTGTGACCTTCCTGATTCTCCTGGGGGCCCTCTGCATTGATGCCTGTATCCTATTTAACTATAATAAAGGTGTTCCTAGAGTTACCCAGCACGCCTTGTGTAAATGCTATGTTGCCATGTGGCTGTTCCTTTATCTCCCTTCAAATAAGCCTGACTGGCTTTATCTCCCTTCAAATAAGCCTCACACTTGAGTATGAATTGGCATCACCTAGAGCTTGTTAAAGCACAGAGTGCTGGCCCTATCCCCAGGGTTTCTGATTCAGTGAATCTGGAGAAGGGCCCCGATAATTTGTGTTGCTAGTATGTCCTCAGGTGATGCTGATGCTGTTGGCCAGGGACCTCCCTTTGAGAACAATGCAGCTAAGCTCTCATTGCACAGCGTGGTTTTAAATGCAGGAACTAAGTGTGTAAGGTGTCTTGTGATTGGTGGAAAGTGCAAAAAGATATAGCCCAGCCTTCTACCCTGAGTTGTTCCTACCACTGCCCTTGGGTTTTCACATCCAAGCAGGCAAATGGTAGAAATATTCCTTGGCATGGTCATTGGAGAATTCCCACAGCTCTATGCAGCCATGGGCACACGAGGGCACAGTGGACAGGACTTGGAGCTAGATGGCCTGGGGTTCAAATCCCAGCCGTGTCATTGCTGAGCTTCTGTGGCCATGGCCGGCACTTGGCTTTTCTGCACAATTACCTACCTCTAACTTATAAATGCTGGCCCACAACCCCTGCAGACATTGTTTTAACAAGAATAATGCCTCCATGGAACTATAGAAGCTAGCTGCTTGGACTTGGGTAGATTCTAACACTCTGTTTTATCTTTGCCAGCCTTGTATGCCTTAAAAACTGGGCTAACATGAATATTCTGCAGATAAATAACGAGACCAATAATGAGGCAAAGTACAGTTCCTGGCACACAGTTGGTGCTGAGGAAGTAACGCTGAGCTTGTGAATGCTTCTCTTTTCAGGCATAGATCTTGAGAACATTGTTTACTACAAGGACTGCACCCACTATTTTGTCATGACAGCCAAGAAGCAGAGCCTGCTTGACAAAGGTGTCATCATTAACGTACGTACCTCTTGGCTGCGATTTCCCGACTTTGTGACCTGGGCTGGTGACTTCGGCAGGTGTGAAAGCAGATGTGGTCCTGCCAGAAATTGAGTGAAGGGAGGAGTGGGGAAGGTGCCACCCGCTCACACCCTTCTTTCTCTTGGTATTACATGAGTGGTGGATAAAGCAGCCCACGCCAATATGCACAGAGAATTTTCTGCACATGGGCATGTGCCGTTGTGAGACCTTTACCAGGTGTTAATGTGGATTGACTGAGTCTTTTCCTTCCCAAGTCTCATCCAGCCTTGCCTCTTCTCTGGGAGGTCACATGTCATTTGGAGGTAGACGGGGGCTCCCTGTCGTAATGAGACATAGGCATCCTTTGACTTGTGAATTTCATGCTGTGGACCCTTGTCATCTTGTGGGGGAATTTCATTCATGCAGTCAAAGAAGACTCAGTCTGCATCTTGACACTGCCACGTACCAACTCCAGACTGTGGGCAAACTATTTATCCTTCCTGAACCTCAGTGTTATTTACAAAATAGGAATGATAGTTTCTGCCTGAAAGGGTTCTTGGAAGGAGCAAATAGGAGATATATACAGAGAAGCTAGCACAGTGCCTGGCAGAGGGTGGGTTTGTAGATTCCCTCTGTAACTTCTCAGCCTTGTTTGCACACTGGCTTTTTTGTCCTGCTGGCGTCCTGGCCTCTGCCTCATGGCTTTGTGACTTCATGCTTAAACACAGAGCAGGGTTGGAAGGAAGAAACATGGAGTAGTGGCCCCTGACTGGAAGCTTCTTCGGTCAGGTGTTCAACCCTTCCAGAGCCCCTGTTGTTGCTGCCACTGTCACTACTGCTGCTGCCACCTCAAGATAAGGATCATGCAGCCCAAGGTCACCCTGCTGTCTGGGTGTCTGCCTGGAGCCCAGGCAGCATGGTGGCCATTCATCGCTGCTTGTTAGAGAAGAATGCGCCCATCTTCTCTCCTGCGTGTGCTGGCAGCCGGCTGGGTGGTATTAGTAACCCAGCCGCCCCGTAGGCCTTCTCCACTTCAGCTCAGGTCTTTGCTGAGAGCCTGAGCTGTGGACGGAGGCTGTGAATGTGGGCTTGGTGAAGTGGGCTGAGCACGCCAGCAGATGGGTGGGCAATGGGCTTCCGCAGTGTCCCACTGCTGGCTGTCAGTCTGGGAGTGGCGGTGTCCCCTTCTTCGCTCTGCCTCACAGAAGCTGCCTCCTGAAGTTGCCGCCTTCATCTGAAACTGGGGGGTGCAGGGGTGTAGGGGTAGTGGGCACCTTTGCAGAGGAGGGGCTAGACAGGCAGGCAAAGCTTGATAGGTTTTGTGTTTTGCAGAGCACCCTGGCCTCCTGGGATGCTAAAGGTCACCCTCAGGTCATCCCAGGGTGTTTGCCCAGGCAGCAACCTGTTGCTTATGGCAACTTGCTTCCCTGGCAGTTGTCAAAGCCCCTCCAGGCCCATGCTTGTCTTCATCACGGCCTTTCATTCTCCTTCAGAGGCCCCTGGGAGCAGCTCCTGAGGCTGGTGCTGAGGAGCCTAAGGTACAAGATGGGAAAGAAATTGGAGGCCACAGGCTGGACACCTGACTGGAACAAGAGTTATAGCCTGAACCTCCAGGTGTCCAGCCGAGTTCCCGACCCATCTTCCCTGGGCTGTTTAAATTTACATTCTTCTCTTGCTCCCTGGAGGCGTGGCAAGTTTTCTGTTTTCTTCTCCCTACATGGATCCGCATCTTCCTATAGCCACACAGAAGGTGCTGAGTAAATGTTTGTTGAATGAATGACTAACCTCTGGACAAGAGGTTTTCCTGCTTCCCCACTGATTCCTGCTGATCTCTGGGCTTCTTTCCATGGCTACCGATGGAAGAGCAGTTTCTCTTCAAGCAGTCGTGCCTCTGGGCTCTCAGCTGTGTCCATCTTTCTCTTCCCACAAGGAGGATGTCCCATCCCACAACCTCCCTGGGCCCCTGCCTCTGCCGGCCCATACATGTGTGGGCTGGGATTCTGTCCTCCTGTCCTTTTCCTCATCTGCTCCCTATGGTATTGCTCTTTCTTCCATCCCCCCACTCATCTGGGACCCTCCAGCCGCTAAGAGACCCCACAGCAGCCCTAGGCCACTAGGCTTCCAGCCAGCTCTAGCCCAGTGTCTTCCCTTTGCTGAGTCCCCACTCTCCTGCATGAGGAGTCCATGCCGGGCACTGTCTTCATTGTGTAATGCTACCCACTCCATCTTAGGGATGCTTGGGGCATGTTTTGAGGGGAGTATTTGAGACCTCTCCCTTCTGTCTTCCCCCATCTCACCTCCACGTCTACGGAGAGAGAAGTGATCATGTGGCCGCAGAAACAGGGATCAGAAAAGAAATCAAATAACAGGAATTCCATCCTGGACACTGGGGCCTGACGGAGAGCTCTTGGACCAGTGCTGGCTGCAATTTGGAGGGTTTGGTTTGGATGGGGGAAATATGAGTTTCCAGAACAGGCTATTTGAAATCATGGCTACTCAGAAAATTGAGGCAGTGGTCAGTCTGGCTGTAGACGCGGTACTCTGTGACTGTGAAGACCTTTGTGATTGAGGGTGCCTTGGCTGGGTCCAGGATATACTTCATCGTAAGTCATATATGGAGCCAGCATGAATTACAGGGTACAGGAATTCCTATTCGTCAGTCACTTCCCACATGGGGCTAGGGATTTCGTGTGCACACTCATTCTGTCTTCTCACGCAGCTCTGTGAAGTAGGTTTTGATATTCCCTTTTTACAGATGAGAGAGCAGAGACTCTGACAAGTTAAATAACTGGCCCAGATTTAGTTGGTAAACAGCAGAGGTGGACTTTGACCTGTTGCTCTCACTGACCCCAAAGCCTGTGTTCATGTTACACACTGGTCCCCTCCCATTCCAGGTGTCTGTACTTTTTGTGTCACCTTTGAGAAAGGTGGTCTTTTAGTTTCTTTAGCCACATGGTGAGCAGCTTGGACTCTGGGGATACACTAAGCTTGTCAGCTCTCTTCAATCCTGACATCCTGTGATTCACTGCCAGTGTCCCTCCAGGATGGATATTCCAGTCCTTGCAGGTCAGGGTTCTGCACTCCCCATGAGAGAAGCATAACAATTAGCACCAAAAGCAAGCTAGTGGGGAGGCTGAGGCAGGAGAATCGCTTGAACCTGGGAGACAGAGGTTGCAGGTTGCAGTGAGCCGAGATCACGCCATTGCACTCTAGCCTGGGAGACAAAAGTGAAACTGTCTCAAAAAAAAAAAAAAGCTAAGCTCTGAGGAGCCCTCAGCCTATCAAGTGAAGGGGTCACTGATGTCGGAAAGTGGGAGAGGTTACCCATTTTCTTCTTCTGGTCTTGTTTGACCACTAAACATGGCATATTTGGATCACATTAACTTAGCTGAATTTATTATAAAATCACACTTTCTGATGGTTCCTTTGTCTCTTAATTGTACTGAAAGTTCTCATGAGAACCAGCCCTATGAAATGTGCTCGTTGTTTGCTCCAAGACCGTTATCATTCCAGCTCTCAACGCGCCCTGTTGCAATTCCTATGTGAGATAGATCTTTTAGAATTTAATGCCAGGGAAAAATGGCCTCTGCTGAGGAATTTCTATGCTTCCTTCTTTGTGATAAGGAAAGCTCTGTGGCATATCACATTTCCCTTTTGCCTTGGATGCCAGGAAGCTCAAAGCCCAATTTGATGCTTAATCACAACTGTGTTAACCCTCACAGCTGGCTGATTTATTTCCTCTTTATTCCCTTGGCCCTGGTTTTTGTATGTCTTTTCTGACTAGCCTCACTGTATAGACCCATTCCAAGTCCTTTTGCCAAGAGGTGGGTATGAAGGCTAGCCCTTTAGAGGGGGAGGTTGCCTCACTGTGTTTTCATCTTCCCCAGGACTACATCGACACAGAGATGCTGCTGTGTGCGGAGAACGTGAACCAAGACAACCTGCTATCCTATGCCCGGGAAGCTGCAGACTTTGCCACCAACTACCAGCTGCCATCCTTAGACTTCGCCATGAACCACTATGGGCAGCCTGACGTGGCCATGTTTGACTTTACCTGCATGTATGCCTCAGAGAACGCGGCCTTGGTGCGGGAGCGGCAGGCGCACCAGCTGCTTGTGGCCCTCGTGGGTGACAGCTTGCTTGAGGTACCGCCTGCACTCGGAGCCCCCACATTTCTCTACGAGACAGATCCCACATTTGTATTCTGGCAGGCAGTATCTGCTGTTGTGCAGTGGGGAGAGGACAGGCTCTCAGCCAGTTGGCAGGACTCTGCCAAGCCTGTCCCAGCCTCAGAGCCTGTCCTGTTGCTGCATTCAGAGGAGCCTGTTTGGACTCAGTGTAGTTAGGAGAGCCTTCTCTTCTATCTCCTGGCTCTTTTGCACTTACTTCTTTGATAAAGTACAAAATCAGGCAGCCCCAGTCTGGGTCACGTGGGCCATCCTTCTCAGAGTATGTGGACCCTCAGCTGGGCCAAGACTTCTTCCTCATGTGGGTGGCCCTTTGTGGCCTTTGAGATCACAGAGGGTGCAGGAGAGGCGTATGGGCCCCAAAGTCTCTTCCATTCACAGCTCCCCAGCTGAAAATTCTTCCCAGAAAATCTGCAAGGGTGCAAGGACCCTTAGATTAAATGAATGTTTTCAGAAAGGAGAAAGTTTTCTCTTTAGCGTGAGCACTGATTATGTATTTATTCCAAGTTAAGAGTCAAATTCCAAACCATGCTTTGGGTGCTCATGGAGCAGATTAGTCAGCACTTAGCTTGGTTGACTTGGTCCTTGGGCACCATTGTGCATGGACTCGAACCTAAGATCCTTGGTTGAGCCCTCAGTACCCATCCTGCTGCTGGCCCAGACTCCTTTCTGAGCTTGGTTTCTCCCTACCTTCCTCCCATGCTCCATGTTACACCCAGAACAGATGGCTGTTCTTCCATCAGGCACCAGCATTTTCCAACCACCATGCCGTAGCCCACACCATTCCCAAGTAGATCAGGATCAGAATCCCATCCATTTGTTAAAATCAGCTTAATGCAACTCTTAAGAAGCTTATTCTGATTTCCATCTCCCTCTCCCAGGGTGGGAATTTGTCTCACCTTTTCTGAGCCCTAAAGCAGTTTTGCGATGCCTGCATCATAGCACCCTTTACATTTGACTTTCTGCTACAGTTATTTGACCTTGTGGTGAATCCTCACAGGTAGCAGCATCCCTGCCCTGTCACCTCTCTATCCCTCCAGTGCCCTGCACAGGCCTGGCAATCAGTGTGTGCTGGGTACAATGAGATCATAGACTGGGAGTTATCAGAATCAACTGGAATTTTGCACATTTTCTTTTGCAGCCATTTTGGCCCATGGGTACAGGCTGTGCCCGCGGCTTCCTGGCAGCCTTTGACACGGCATGGATGGTGAAGAACTGGAACCAGGGCACCCCTCCGCTGGAGCTGCTGGCTGAAAGGTGATCTTTGACAGCAGGGCTGCTAATGGGGGGCAGGGCCACTCAGGCAGGAAAGGGGGCAAGATCACCCCTCAGGTGACTGCTGGATATACCTGGAGCCTCTGCCTCCTCCATTCTGCCTTCCCATGTGTGGCCTGATCTGATCATCAGCATCCCCAGGACGCTTCCTCCATCATGATCTGACTCTTACAGTGACTTACTCTGGGGGCCAGGACCTTAGGCCCTGGATGACAAAGAGAAATCTTCATCTGGGTTGGCCCTGCAGCTGGCGCTCCCCAGCATTGCTCATTCACCCGAGAGCCAGAGAGGTTTATTTAAGGGAATCTTCCAGGGCAGTACTGAGTCCCCTCTCCTGGATGGAGGTTGAATTCTCTGGCTTTCCAGGCCTCTCCCACCGCTGAGATCCTGGGCTTCCTCCCAGACCCCTGCTGCTGGCCACGTGGCTGTGACAGCTGGTGGACAGGGGGAGGTCAGGGCTGCCAGGCGGAGGCAGGCCTCTGACAGTCTTGGGTGTGGAAGCCTGTGGTCGTGGGGAGCAGGCCGCAGGAGGCAGCGTGGCTGAGCATGGTTATGGCAAAACCACAGGCCACTGTGCTGCCAGCCCTGCGTCCCTCCCCTCTGCCTGGGTGGAGGAGTCCAACATCCCCGTCACCCAGGTGCCCCTTTCCTCTCGGCTCCTTTGACCTTCTCCCCACTTTGCAGATCTCAAGAACCAGGAGTGTCAGGTATTTCAGGGAAGGGTTAGACAAACATGTCCAGGAAGCCCTTCAACCAGAGGAAGGGGGAAGTAGGGGAGGGTGAGGACAAGGCCTGAGGTGGCAAAAGTGATCCCTGACCTCCAGGCTCCGCCTCCCTCCAGGGAAAGTCTCTACCGGCTGTTACCTCAGACAACCCCAGAGAACATCAACAAGAACTTTGAGCAGTACACGTTGGACCCAGGGACGCGGTACCCAAACCTCAACTCCCACTGTGTTAGGCCCCATCAGGCAAGTGCATCCCTGGGGCCCTGTCTGAGTCACTGTGCACTGAACAGTGGGAAGAGGCGGTGGGGAGGGGTCACATTAAATTTTGGTCCATTCCTGGGACTAAGGCCACCAAGGCCTGCTGGCCTAATGGTGGGACCAGTTCTTCTCCCCACTAGAGTCAGCATTCTTTCTAGCCCACAGGACAGAACTAGAACACATATCGGGGGAGATATATATATATGTATATGTGCATGTATTTACATATATTGTCACTGTGCATATGCATTGCTGATCTTACCTGTCTCAAATAATTTACTTGGCCAAACATGCTCTCTGTATACCACGCATGGTCCTAGGGTCACTTTCTTCTTCCACTGATTTAAAGCCACCAAACTCTCAACCTCTGGTCAATAGAACAGAAAATTGTGTGAATTTTTAAAATTAGCTAATTACATACACACAAATTAGCTACACACATTCCCACTTAGTTTGCCTGCATCTGGGTGGAGATTGAGGCCCATTGCTCTATGATTCAAGTTGCCTGGGTTCCCTGGCCAAAGGTCATGCCTCCTAGCAATAGAGGAAAATGGTGGCAGGCACTGAATTGGGGTTAGGTCGAGTTTAGGGGCCCTAAGACTAGGATTTGGGGGAAAACTGGTGGGCAAGCATGTTGTCTCTCTTGCTCATAGGTGAAGCATTTGTACATCACCAAGGAGCTGGAGCACTACCCTCTCGAGAGACTGGGCTCAGTGAGGAGATCTGTCAACCTCTCCAGGAGGGGTAAGCGGCCCTCCTGGGACCCTGGTGGGTGGCTGGGAAGGGCTTTGAGGGGAGGAGGCCTGCTCAGTGGCTGTGGTGACACAGGCTCTGCAACCAGCCTGGCTCTGCCCCTTTATCTGTGAGACCATGGGCAGGCACCTCTCCTCTTTGTACTCCAGTTTCCTCCTCTGTAAGACCAAGAGAACCCCTGCCCAGAGCATCATTGTGAGGATGAAAGGAGCTAGTATGTGTCGAGAGCTTCGCACAGTAAACATGAACTGGGGGATTATTTCACTGGGACTTGTTCTTATTTTCCTCTTGTTTCCAGCATGGGGGCCTTGTCCCCTTAAGTAGAAATGAAGTTAATGCACTTCACCCTTTTCCTGGTCATCCTGGGCCTAGCAGTGAGCTGGACACAGGGCCGGTGCTCAACACAGGGAGATGGGATGGTTAAATGAGGAATTCCCAGCACCCAACTCGGCTCAGGATGCTCTCCTGCTTAGAGACCTCTTTGGCTACCTGTGCCTGTCCAGACTTTGCCTCCTCTCCTTCCTTAGGCAAACTCAGCTGTACTCCTTCTTCCCCTCCATGCACCACGACGTGCCCCACTGCTGTAATAAACCACTTACTATAATCAGCCGTTTCACTGTTACACAAACATAGCAAGTTTTTCTAGATTCTTTGCCACCGCACAGTCCTTTCTGTCTTCCTGGAATGACTTCTTCCATCTGATAAGTTCCTAGATGCTCTTAAAGAACAAGCTCAAATGTACCTCCCCATTACACTTTTCTCTGGAGAATTCCTCTCCCAGAGCAGACTCAGGCAATCCTGCTAATGTGCTCCCACAGCGCCCGTTTCTCCCTCCATTGCAGCACTGTGTCATCGTCACCCCCTGTGTGACTGTCTTCCCCACTAGATGAGCATGTTGCTGGCAGGGCCTAAACATAGTAGGTCTTAGGGACTCTGCTGGAAGAGAACATGCTTCCCCTCCCCTCCCGCCACACTCTTGACCAGGCCCCCAAGCAGCAGTCCTCAAGGAGCTGCACCCTTGCCAATGGCCCCCTTGCCTTGGGGCTGCTCCTTCTGGTCCCCAGCCATGGTGGCAATGAGAGGAGATCGCCAGGGCAGAGTGTGTGAGATTCCTGCAGAGCCTCACTGCCTGTGCTCTCCTTCTTGCAGAGTCAGATATCCGGCCCAGCAAGCTCTTAACCTGGTGCCAGCAGCAGACAGAGGGCTACCAGCATGTCAATGTCACCGACCTGACCACATCCTGGCGCAGCGGCTTGGCGCTGTGTGCCATCATCCACCGCTTCCGGCCTGAGCTCATGTGAGTCTGGGGCCCAGGCTGGCCCCTGGAGACAAGGGATGCCAAGGCCATTCTGCTGCATGCAGAATCTTCATTACTTGGTTCAATATTTCTCTTTCTGTGTTTCGATTTGAGATTTTTCTTAACATTTGTTCTTTTCGCTTTGCACTGATTACTCTGTCAGCAGTGCATTTGATCTGCGTTCCTAATATGTGAGGATAAAAATTGGTTCAGGCTTAGTGACGATATTCTTGACACCTCGCCCCCCACTACCCTTCCCCCCCGACCCCCATCACCACACTCTTTGGAAATTTGAGCATTCACACGTTGGAGCTCCACCCTCGAGAGAGGAGTATGGGCCAGACCTAATTCCAGGGACTAGTTTGAGGGTTTTATAGAATTAGGTTTGAGACCCAGATCCATAAGCTGTGTGTCCCTGGGCAAGCCACTTACCTTCTCTGGGCTTTAGATTCTTCATCTACAAATTAGAAAGAGCAGCAGGGTCATCGGGGAGATCAGGTGATGTTTGAGGAAACACTGTGATGCTGAAGCATGATGCGTCTGTATTTAAATCAGCAGCCGCAGAACTTCACAGCCAGGTGCAAATCACAAAAAAGACTGACAGCAAACCCACCCAAGGGCTAGCAATTGGTACCTTAGGAAGCGAGGTGACCTCAAGAGGATGGACTCTCCTTTTTTTTTTTTTTTTTTTTTTTGAGATGGATCTCTCACTCTGTTGCCTAGGCTGGAGTGCAGTGATGCAATCTCAGCTCACGGCAACCTCTGCCTCCCAGGTTCAAGCAATTCTCCTGCCTCAGTCTCCCGAGTAGCTGGGATTACACCACACCCAGCTAATTTTTGTATTTTTAGCAGAGACAGGGTTTTACCATGTTGGCCAGCCTGGTCTCGAACTCCTGAGCTCAAGTGATCCACCCGCCTCTGCCTCCCAAACTTCTGGGATTATAGGCATGAGCCACTGCGCCTGGGCTCCCTTTTTACCTTATATGCTATATAATTTGATGTTTTTTACAAGATGCCTATTTTACTTTTGTAATTTTAAAAAGGTGATGTGTTTAAAAGTAAAATAGCTCATAAATGTTCCCAAGAGGTTTAAATCATCTTCTGATGGCTTTAGCCCAGAGAGCAATAATGTCATCATGGCCTGAGTCTGATTTTGTTCCTTCCTGACCAGTGGGGTGGTGGGATGAGAACTGGGGGCAGGGGTGGGGTCACTGTTCCCCCCCGTACCCTGCCAACACCTGGCAGAGTGTCACCCTCAGTGCTCCTTACCACCTGAAGGTGCTCAGCTCACCGCACCTCTGACTCCTCTCCCTGAATTTCTCTACTTTGTTTTGATTCTCTAGCAACTTTGACTCTTTGAATGAAGATGATGCTGTGGAGAACAACCAGCTCGCATTTGATGTGGCAGAGCGAGAGTTTGGGATCCCTCCAGTGACCACGGGCAAAGAGATGGTGTCTGCCCAGGAGCCTGATGAGCTCAGCATGGTCATGTACCTCTCCAAGTTCTATGAGCTCTTCCGGGGCACCCCACTGAGGCCCGTGGGTAAGTGCCTGGACAGAGATTTTGCTTGGCCCCTTGGACCGTCTCTGTCCCTGTCACTGAGTCTAACTGCTCCTAACACTGGTATGGTCTGTTCTGGGGCTGCCCAGTGTGTTCCCCTTGACAGGCCAAACAGGGGTGACTCCACTCACCCAGCCTCTGTGCATGTAAGTGGATCTGTATGTCATTTACATCTTGAGTTTGGGGGGATGGAGTCTCGCTCTGTCACCCAGGCTGGAGTGCAATGGCACGATCTTGGCTCACTGCAAGCTCCGCTTCCCGGGTTCAAGGCATTCTCCTGCCTCAGCCTCCCGAGTAGCTGAGACTACAGGCACCCACCACCACGCCCAGCTAATTTTTTTGTATTTTTGGTAGAGATGAGGTTTCACCGTGTTTGCCAGGATGGTCTCGATCTCCTGACCTCGTGATCCACCCGTCGGCCTCCCAAAGTGCTGGGATTACAGGCGTAAGCCGCCGTGCCTGGCCAACACCTCCTTGTTATAGCCATACTTCCTGGAGCCTGGTTCCAAATCACAGTTGCACTTTTATTTCCCAACAGATTCTTGGCGCAAAAACTATGGAGAAAATGCTGACCTCAGCTTGGCCAAATCATCCATTTCTAATAACTATCTCAACCTCACATTTCCAAGGAAGAGGACTCCACGAGTAAGTTTTGGCCTGGTTTTTGTTTGATTTCCCATTGCACATGGACGGGGTATGAGGAACGGAGATTGTCACATTCTCAGACTGTTGAGGCTAGTAAGTTACATGGATCAGGCGCTCCCGGAAAACGCTAGTAAAACTTGGATTAGTTATGGGTGTTTTTGGAAGTTCTTCCTGGCGCTGTGTAGCTAGTTTCAATGACTTCAAAGTGGTTATAGGAAGGACATGGTAGCAAGCTGATAGGACACATTGGTGAATGCTTTTAGAAGTAAATCAGATTAGCTCTGCTTCCTAAGGGATGGGGATGAAATGATTTCTCACTGTGCTGAGCAGTTTAGAACTTGATGGCCATCAGTTTAGTGGCAGAAGTGCATGGTGGTGATGCTCCATTTACACATTTGTTCCATTAATTTGTATTTATTCATTTACTCAACAAATATACGTTGGGCTCTCCTATAGGTCAACTTTAGGGCTATAGTTTTCGTTTCTGATGAGGGGAGCAAATATACGGAAGTGAACAATATATGGACCTTGCCTTTGAGGAGCTCAGAGCCTAATAAAGAGGTTCCCAAACGTTCTCAACTTATAGCACCCTTAGTGTCTCCATAATTTTTTTCATGATGCCCCTATACCAAAAGAAATACCTAACAGTTTCATTTATTGAGTAGTTAAGACCAAATAACTTAATAGGAACATTTTTCAAGGTGTCTGACAGACATGATAGTGTTTTCCTAGAAAATTTAAAATATTCTGTGGCACCTCTGTGAGTTCACATGGTGCCACGGGACATAGTTTGGGCATCACATACCTAAGGAGCAGTGACAGTTTCGTGTGGATGCTAACATCTCCATGGGAGGCATGATGCCAGTTCTCTTGCTTAATGTGCCCACTTTACAGATAAAAATGGAGGCCTGTGGGTGCAGTGGCTCACGCCTGTAATCCCCACACTTTGGGAGGCTGAGGCAGGCAGATCACCTGAGGTCAGGAGTTTGAGACCAGCCTGGCCAATATGGTGAAATCCCGTATCTACTAAAATTACAAAAAATTAGCCAGGCATGGTGGCAGGCACCTGTAATCCTAGCTACTTGGGAGGCTGAGGCAGGAGAATCGCTTGAACCCAGGAGGCAGAGGTTGCAGTGAGCTGAGATTACACCATTGTACTCCTGCCTGGGCAAGAAGAGCGAAACTCCACCTAAAAAAAAAAACAAAAAAAAAACGGAGGCCTAGAGAGGCTGGGTGCCTCGGCCAGGTCACCTGCTACTCTGTTGTACTTCATTGCTTTGCCCCTACCCCGTGCTTTCTTCACACTAATTAGTCCACTCATTAAAAGGCATTTGTTGTGTATCTAGTTATAGGACATACAGAAGTGATGTGAGTCTTGACCTTGGAGTCCAGTTGGGAAGATAGGGAGCAAACTGAAAACCAAGGGTCCGAACCTTAGGGAACAAGGGAGTTTGAGGGGCTGGCAGAGGCAGAGCAGCCAGGAAAGAAGATGGGAAGGGGAAGGGACAGTTGGAAAGGCAGGGAGGGAGTTGGGAAGCTCAGGGAGGAGAGCTCTTCTACAGGATGGGCCCTGGAGACTGTGCCAGGCAACAGGGAAGCCAGCCAGGGTGAGGGCTGAGGACAGGCTATGAGATGTGGATGCACTGGGGCAGATGGCAAATGTCAGAGTTCTAGGACTAGAGTGGGGAGCTCCTGGGGTGGTCAGTGGGAGCAGACAAGAGAAGATGGGTGGAGGAGAATAGGACCAGAGTGAAGGCACTGGAGGGAGCAGGGGTGGCTTGGGGTGGGGGCAGTTGTAAGTACCTGTCCAGAGCTTGCCTGCCCTCCCCAGCATGGCAGGGTGCCCTCCACCAACAAGACAGTGGACTGGAGGCCTCTACACGTTTCTGAGTCTCTCTAGGTGGCCAACAGTCTCTTTAGCTTGGCCAAGGCAGCCATATCCAGTCAGCCCCTCTGCCCAGGGTGGGGTGGGGCTGCCCAGCCTCCTTCTTTCCCTGGGCTGTGTGAGCAGTGGTCACTGTTTCCACTGAGGCCTGAACTCCCTGCTCCCTGGGATGCTGCAGCAGCTGTTTTGCCAACTCCAGGAGCAGGATACTTCATGCTTCTGTGGCTCCCTAGCTCTAGGAAGGAATGGGCTAGCAAGGCCTTAGCTGGGCAAGGAAGATGCCAACAAAGCAATTAAAATGATGAGCTGCACCCAGCGCTCTCCGCCTCTGAGCTGGCCCCACTTAGAGGCTCTGTGTGAGGGCTGCATTGCCCACCGTGTTCCCACTGAGCAAATGGGGCTCTCTTCTGGATACCAGTGGTCAGCTTGTTCTACCTCCAGCCCAAGGACCCCTGTCTTCGGCTGTTTGGCCCCAGGCAAGCCAGTCAGTGTTTCTTAAAGCTCTCTGAGCCAGACATGTACTGCCTTTCTCCATTCACTGCGTCTCTCCCACTTGGCCCCCAGAAGGAACTGGAGAGGGATGTTTCAACCTTTCACTCACCACACCTCTGTTTACAGAGTGACAGAATTGAAACAGCCTGGCCAGCACTGGCTTGGGACCTGGGGATGGTTAAAAGTCAGGAATCAGCAAGGCTGGCCAGGCCTTCCAAGGGCTGAGGGCCTTACTCCACTTCCCTCTGGCTCTGCTAGAAAATGCTTGTGGTGGAGGGTTCTGCCCAGCCCAATTCTGGCCCCTTTTGAATCCTGTTCAGTCTTCTTCAGGGTGTGTCCCTTGGCTACCCATTTTGAGAGGAGTCAAGGCCCATAGATCTGTTCTCTCCCCCAGCCTCATTTAATCTTTGCACTCTGCCCCATTTTTGGATAGGTAGAGATGTGGCCATTGAGTGAAGTGCCTGGCATGGGCATTACTTGTTCTCAGAGCGACGGAGCATTTCCTCTGGGTGGGTTGGGTGCTTTCATAAGGCTACTGGGTCACCACACTGTGCCTTGGCCGTCACTGAGATACCTCTGCATTCTGTCTACCATTCAATGCCAGCACAGTGATCAGGGCCACATAGAAAGTACCTTCTTCCTTCGCCCCATCCTACCAGATACCTTGTTGTATCTGAACGATTTTTTGATTTGGGAATCTAATGGCAATGCTCTTTGGCCTCAACATTACCCACTAGCAAAGAACGCTGAGTTCACCCTGGTCTGGTCCTGCACAGCCACAGGGGATGTCTGCACATAAGACTCTGAAATCCATGCATACTTCCACGTCTCTACATAGGGGCTCCTTCACATTTACACCAAGATATCAGTACAACAAAACGCACAGCCCTCAATGACCTTGCTCATCAGCCCTTCTGGAGTGGAGATACAGGGCAGGCACGCTTGCACGAGTCTATACAATAGCCCTCCCCTCAAATACAGACAATATCTGTACATGTAGGTGCATCTGTGTTTGACCTTCCTCCCTGCCCCTCCCTAACTTCCTCTCCATCTTCCAGAGGAATATCTTGATATGCGAATTGAGCTGTGAGTGCACATTTGTTTACAATGTGGCATCTTTATCTGAAGAGGATACACTGGTTCTCTGCTGAGTCAGGCTTAAGAACCTCCCTCCTGATTTTCACTGACTTTAAATTCTTCTTTTCCCCCTAATCTTATCTTCCTGATAACATGCAATCGAAGCAAGATGTATCAACTTCAAGCAAAATGAAAGGCCTTTTTCTCCATCAAGGATCTTGTTTACTTTTAGAGAGAGTAACTTTTCCATCCCACCGTGAGTGGCAACCCATTGGGTTGATTCGTTCTGAAAACTGGGCAGCCCACGCCTGGAAAAAGGAGAACTTGGGGACTATATTTTCCCTTAAAAGGCCCTTGGTCTGCTTCTGCAGATCTGTCTGTGGTCCTGGTGAGCATCTAAAAGCCTCATAGCAAGGGACAGTTCCTGGGGGCTCCAGGGCTCTTATCATCATGCATGCAGGTGACACCTGAACATATAACCATGGCGTCTATCATTCCTGTGTGCATGGCACACACACAGACATACACCTTCAGACTCACAATACCCACCAGTACTCTCCTAGACCTACCATACATGGTGACACCTGTACTTATGGCCACTATGGTCATTACTGTACACATATGCAGAGCACTACTTTTTGTCCCATCCTGAGCCCACTCCTTGGGGGATAAAACAAGTTGTCGCTTGTCCCTGGAGAGCTCATCCCAGAAGCCAGATGGGTGGCCCCAGGTTTGATCCTGCTTAACCAGGTCCTCCTCATCCTCCAGCCCTGGTCCCTGACAGAGTGGCATTCACAAAATGTGACGGACGTTTTTGTCAGTGTCCGGTCTGAGTGGTCCAGGTTCCCCTCCCCAACCCTCCTCTTCCTGAGCCACCTGCACAGACACTTTCTGAAGAGCCGGGTGGCATTACGTGCGAAGGTGCCTCTTCCATCCACTCATTCGACAACCATTTCTCAAGTGCCTATTTTATGTGGAGTTCTCCTCAGTACTGGGGCTGCAGCAGTGAACGAAACAAGCAAGGACCCCGCCTTATGAACTTCCTCTCACCTCACTTCCCCGACTTCTCTTATGGAACCACACACCCAGTAGCCAAAGCTCCCCACTAGGTTTCCAGGACTTCTCATTGCAGAGGTTTAAAGAAGGCTTGGGGGAGTTAAGGGTGCTGCTTTCCAAGGCCAGGCCAGCACAGGGCCCTGGAGTACCCCTCCAGGTGCCCGCAGGCCATGGCTGAAGCTGTTCTCTCTCCTTTCCTCTGTGCAGTCTCAGTCCAGGATTCAGAGCTCACTTACAGATTGGGAATGCAGTTAGAAGTCAAGCAGACAAACACAGATTTACATCTGCTGGGGATTTGGCAAATGTTCTAGCCTCTCAGAAAGCTCCTTTGCTTGTCTGAAAAATGAGGGTAACAACATGTACATCATAGTATTGCAGCAAAGATGAGGCGAGCAAAGGTGTGCGGCAGGTCTGAGCACTGTGTCTGGCAGGTGGAAGGTGCTCAGTAAATGATAGTTCTCTTCCTTTAGAAATGATGGTTAAATGAAGACGCTTGTTTTCTCAAAAGATGAGTAAAGCGATCTGGCTTGAACACTTGGTTCTGTACTGCAACCACAATCAATAGAGCCCTTTACAGCATACAAAACACTTTCATATACATCCCGTTTGCTCTTTTCACCTTTGGAGGAAGGCTGGGAACACATTTTCATGCCAATGTTTAGATGGGGAAACTTGGACTTGGGGAGATTACATTTTGATAAGTCATGTAGGTGGTAAATGTCAAAGCCAGAAGTAGAATTCAGATGTTTAAAATTCTGTTACTCTGCCAAGCACAGTGTCTCATGCTTGTAATCCCAGCACTTTGGGAGGCCGAGGTGGGTGAATTGCTTGAGGCCAGGAGTTCAAGACCAGCCTGGCCAACAAAGTGAAACCCTGTCTCTACTAAAAATACAAAAATTAACCTGCGTGGTGGTGCACACCAGTAGTCCCAGCTTCTTGGGAGGCTGAAGCACGAGAATCACTTAAATCCAGGAGGCAGAGGTTGCAGTGAACCAAGATCACACCACTGCACTCCAGCCTGGGCAACACAGCAAGACCCTGTCCCAAAAAGAGAATAAATAAAATAAAACAAAATTGTGTTACTAACACTAGCCTCACCAATAGTGTCTAATACTTGTACAGTAGTACCCTCCTTATCTGCAGTTTTGCTTTCCAAGGTTTCAGTGACCTGTGTTCACCCATGGTCCAAAAATATTAAAAGGAAAATTCCAGAAACAATTCACAGTTTTAGATTGCACACCAGTCTGAGTAGCATGATGAAATCTCACAGCATCCCACTCCATCATGCCTGGAATGTGAATCATCCCTTTGTCCAGCATATCCACGGTGCACTCGCTACCCACCCATTAGTCACCTTAGCTGTCTCAGTCACTAGATCAAAAAAACAGCATATCTAGGGTTTGGCAGTATCCACGGTTTCTCGCGTCCACTGGGGGCCTTGGAACGTATCTGCCATGGATGAGGGGAGACTACTGTCTAGCACTGTATAGTTTAAGAAGTGTTTTATGTCTGTGATTTCATTACTCTCACAACAGCTTATGAACTAAACAATAGAAGATCCCTTCTTAGAGTTAAGGAAACTGAAGTCAAGTAGTTGGATGGTTTTCCTGAGATCACATAGCTGGGAAATAATTAGTACCAATACTCAAATCCATGATTCCTTGAAGAAAGAGCTCTCTCGCTGATATCACTGGCTATCTTCCCAACTATCACAGCTGCTGCCCAAATCAACAAAACCATAGCCTGCAATGGCCAACCTCTCCTCCTATGACCCATATCTAAATTATTCCTGGGCTAGGCTATACCAGCTAACTAAATATAAAGTTTGTTTGCTTTGAGCTAAAATCACATTAACTCGGGCAGTATGGGAACATGGTTATCTTGTGCTGATCAAATAAATGTTCAGATTGGCAGATCTACATCTTTGATTTTTTTATAGGAAAACGAATTAGTTTAATAAATGCCTTTTTGTATATAGAGTCTTTCAAATCATTTGGAAATCATGATAAGAAAGTGTTCTTAGGGTGGAAGAGCTGGAAACCTTAATGGGAAAAGAACGTAAGTTATTTATTCTCATGTTCTCTTTGGGCACAATAAGTATTTTCTTTCTTCTTGTACTTTCAATTCTTTGTAGAGTGAAACAGGGTCTGAGGAAAATGGAGTACTGAAGCAATTATGGTTCACAAATATAGATATATAGATAAGAAAAAAATTAGATAAATCTCTAGGTTCGAATGTTCTTAACCTTTTTGTTTTAGCCTAGCTCTTAGTCAGTGCTTCAGTGTTAAATTCATAAAGAAAAGTAGAAACCATTCGGATATGTGTGTTGCTAACTTTTCCATAGACTACATTTGGTTGTCCCATGGGTCAAGGTGGGTCAGAGAGGCTGAGGTTGTCCCCGTCCATGTCCTTTATTCCCCCTGAAGGATTTGGAGTCTTCTTAGGAGCTGCTGGCTGGGCACGGCCTTCCCAGGAATGCCCTTCATAAGCCCATGGCTAATATGGCTGTCTTCAATCTATCTAGGCTCCAGTGGAACAGTCCCACTTGTTGAGTACAAAAGAGAGTAAAATGTTTTGCCCTTTGGAGGAAAAGCCAAATCCTCATTTAATGTAGAAACCAAAAAAAAAAAAAAAAAAAAAAAAAAAACAACAGAAAACCCTAAGATTATGCATGAAGCATTCTTGTTGGGTAGGACATTCTGTACTTTCACAGGCCCCAGGTTTGGGCTGGCCAGAGCAGCATTCCCAGGCTGTGGAGCTGGGGGTCCAGACAGCCTGTTCCTCTAAGACCCAACATTGTTGCAAATAAGGTCATCTGTTTCTCTTGGTGTTTGCCCAAGCTTTTGGCTTAAAATCATTTCCATTCACAGAATAATGATTTATTAGAAGCTGAGGAAAATGTTCAAGAGAAGGCAGGGCCCTTTGATGTGTTGTTTTGTGCTGCCTGGGGCAAATTTTTGAGCAAATATCAATGGACTAAACTATGGTTGATCTTGTCTTTAAAAACAAAACAATCTGGTGCTGGTAAATGTGGGGAGAGGGCAGGGGATGAAGAAGAGGACAAGAGACAGGTGCTTTCCGTTGCAGGGAGGGGGTGCATACTGGGTTGTGTTTGGGGCACCCATAGCTAGGGTTGTTGTTTCAGAACAACCTGGAGGTGAAAGAATCCTCCTGTGATTGGGTAGATTAGGATTTATGGGGCTGATTGGGCTGTATGCCTGGGTTTGAGGTGAGCAGATGGTCTGCAGCACTTCCCCCTGCATCCAAAATGGTAAAAAGTCTGGATTTAATGTGGGCCTGCTATGGAAGGCCCCTCTGAGACAGTAGGAGGCTCCCTGAAGAAGCGATCTATGGTCAATGGGACATGGCTCCCTGGTTCTGACAGAGCTTGCTCTTTGGAGAAGGCTCCAGTGGCTGAAGACTGGTAGCAGAGAGGTCCTACCCTAGAAAAGGATGGGGCAGCCTAGGTGGACCCTAGCCCAGCGACAAGGGTAGACTTACCCATAGGTACAGAGGAGTTACTAAATTCAGTCTTTCCTACTCCAGCCATAGCATCAGCTCGGCCTCCAGAGTTCTGCTCATTCCCTGAGGAGACAAGCCTGACAGCTGAGTGCCCTCAGGGAGCCCTTGCAGGGTGATGCAACGGGCTTGGGTAGAGCAGGGCTTTCTGGATTTCAATGTCCAGATTCAGGCAGCAGAGAGTGGGCTGTGAGGGGTTCTCATAGGGCAACCATGTCATGTGTCATCTAAACCAGGAGACTTCTGACAGTGAAGGGGGCACTGTTAACAATCAGGCTGGGGCTAAAAAGCAGTAAATCAGAACTACCCCCACCTCCAGCAAACCAGGCTGTGTGGTCAGGCTAGTCATCAGGCTATAGTTAATGCTTATTTGAAGTTAATAAAATACTGTTTACTAGTATCTGTGATGCTGACTGAATTGCAGACTTGATTTTTCATCAAATCCCTGGGCAACTTATTTGAGCCCTGAGAGTCCATGTGAGTTGAACCCGGTCACCCTCTTGTAGGAGAGAGGCTCCCTGGGTGCAGAGAGACCCCAGGTGGTCTCCATGAGGCCGCACACTGAATGCATCAGCAGACCTGGCTGTGGCCTTGGGCAAGGCATTGACCTGCTCCAAGCCCAAGGCCACATTGCAATGGAGATCATCCCTGTCCTGCTTATGGCACTGGGATTCTTTTTGCTTTGATATCTCATGAAGATCTTTTGGGATGTAATTCTGGCCCCTTCTGACAAAGCCTTGGCTGCTAGGTGGCGTGAGGTTCTCTCCACTGTGCCAGCATTTGTCACAGTGCAGAGTAATTTACTACCACGCCTGCCTGTAGGCTGACAGCTGTTTGTGGGCAGGGACACATCCACAGCACCAGCTCAAAGCCAGCCCTATACCCTCAGGGATCTTAGTGGGACTGAAGCCCTTCGTGTCCCCCTGAGCTCACCCTGCTTTCTTGGCCATTGCAGGTGGATGGTCAAACCGGAGAGAATGACATGAACAAACGGAGGCGGAAGGGCTTCAATAACCTGGACGAGGTTTGTGTACACAGTGTGGGTTTAAACAGAGGCTCGTTTCCTGACAACCAGTGGCCACAGGCAGCCTCACTGTGATAGCAGCCTGGCCGTGTTCCTTCCCTCTCTCATGAACCACTGGGTTCCAAACTTGGCATGATGGAAAAATAGTTGGGGTTTTGGATCTCGCTTCATTATTTACTAGCTATGTAACCTTGAGAAACACAACCTCCCAGGATTTGGTTCATGTCTGTAACATGCAATGATACACTTGAAATACATGAAACTTTGCAGGACTTTTAAAGATGAATAAGATGAACATGGTATCTGATACATGCTAATCAATATACAACCACTATTAATAGTAAATAGTAAAGAGGCATCAGCACTCCCACTTTTCTCCCAATCATCGTTTGTATCCCTTTGCGTTTCCTTTGCTTCTAGTCTGTAAGGCAAATGTCCTGGTGCCCACAAGTGCCACCTTCTGGTGAAAGAAGAAAATTACAGGTTACTTTGTCAAAGGAGAGCCTGAATCTCTCACCTGCTTCTGAAAAAGTGATCAAGCGGAAAGAGTATCAGTTCCTGCTTCCCTGGGCAGCTTTTAAAAGAGACCTGAGATATACACATTATTTAAAAAAAAAAAAAAAAAACCATTCCAACTCCATAAGCATGCATATTGTCAGCGAAGTGTGGGATGCCAGCTTTCGCCAGCCTGCTGGCTGACCTCAAAATGATGACACAGAGGCATGAGGGATGAGCTGTTTAATACATTGATATCCGATGGATAGGAGGTAGAAGGGACTTTTCTACTGTTTATGGTCAAAGAGTTTTTATTGCTGTATATTTGCTGACATGGTTGTTCATGTCTGAATTGCTGCATCTCACAAGTGAGCTTTATAATAAATAGAGTCATGAGGTTCACCTTGGGGAAAGCAGCAGCCAGCCAGTCAACCCATTATCTGTGATGGTCAAAGGGAAGCACCGACAAAGGAAAACAAGTTCAGTTCACATCTTAAAATATCAACAAACCCATTCTACCCAATGAGTTCAAAACACCTTGGGTTGAACATTTGCCTAGAGCTTCTTAAAGCTTAGGACATGGGATTTGCTCCTGCCTGTTCCCAGGAAGCTTCCCTTGGGTACACTTTGTCTCAGGCAGTCTTTTCCTGCCTTTCACCCGTGGCTTATGTAAGGGTATGTGAGTGTTGTTTCTGTTACTGGCAACACAGGAGTTGGAGTGGGAAGAAATCTGGTTTGTGTCTACCCTTTCTGAGATGGCCCTGGACAGTCTCCTGGGGCAACGGTTTGCTTAAACTCAGTTTTAACAAAGCGATATTCTTTCTAAATTCTTGCTACTCAAAATGTGATCCAAGATCCAGCTTAGGGGAGTCTTGTTAGTTAGTCAGCAGCTGGTTTTTTGTTAGAAGTACAGGCTTTCAGGGCCCACCCCAGACCTACGGAAAGCAAATCTGCTTTTGAGGATTGATTTCCTGGTGATTTGTAGGGCCGTTGATGTCTGAAAGTGCTGGCCTATCTGGCCCACTGTCCTGGGCCAGGTCTTGTACAAACAGTGATCACTCAAGTAAGCATACCCCTTCCCACTCAAGCCTGTACTGTTGTGCACAGTTACATTTCACTTTGAAGGAGGGTGTGCCTCTTTGGTTTGTGTTTGTCTGATACTCAGAGTGGCTCCACATAAAAGGTTTCCATGGGGCTGCCACACCTAGGGATCTTTTTTAAAAAATTAACTGTAGCTTGCCTTTTCTGGTGAATTTCTTCTAAATGAACACAACTTTGTTGTCGTGAGAATGTCTCTTCCTGTGAGGAACATTCCTGGTGTCCTTGGGAAAACTTACTACCCACTTGCTGTGGCAGCACCATTTATACTTCTGAGGCCTGTGGGAGGAGATCCCGCAGTAAGGGGGAACAGACGTTCTTAGTAAACACTGGTCATTTTCAATTTTTTACTGTTAGCAGATGAGCTAGAGAAATCTTTTTGTTTTTTTGAGACAGTCTCGCTCTGTTGCCCAGGCTGGAGTGCAGTGGCCAGATCTTGGCTCACTGCAAGCTCCACCTCCTGGGTTTACGCCATTCTCCTGCCTCAGCCTCCCCAGTAGCTGGGACTACAGGCGCCCGCCACCTCGCCCAGCTAGTTTTTTTTTTTGTATTTTTTAGTAGAGACGGGGTTTCACCGTGTTCGCCAGGATGGTCTGGATCTCCTGACCTCGTGATCCGCCCGTCTCGGCCTCCCAAAGTGCTAGGATTACAGGCTTGAGCCACCACGCCCGGCTGAGCTAGAGAAATCTTATATGGAACTCCGTTTTATAAAATAGCATAACCAAATGGCCAAGGTCTACATCACCACCTATAAATCACGTTGGTATCATGCACCCAGCTGTACTAGAATGAGAAGAGTATTTCACCTCAGTGGTGTCCTTCCCGGAAGTCTAATCATGAGAGAACATCAGACCAACCCAGATTGAGGGGCTTTCTATAAAACAGCTGCTCAGTACCCTTCAAAAAGGTTCATTCTGTAACAGAAACTGTTAGAGTTTGTAGGAAACCAAGGAGACAGGATGATGAAATGCAGTGTGGGATCCTGGATTGAATCCTGGGACAGAAAAAAGATATTAGTGGAAAAACTGATGCAATCCGAATAAAGTGTATAATTTAGTTAATAGTATTGTGCCAATGTTAATTTCTCAATCTTGATGACAGGAGCAATTATTCCAGATTTAACACCGCGGGCAGCTGGGTGAAGGGTATGCAGGGACAGTCTATGCTATCTTTGCAACTTTTGTGTAAATCTAAAATTGTTTCTAAATTAAAAGTTTTCTTTAAAAAGATAGCAAAAATAGAGCAGGGCTGGTTAAAGCTGGGGGTGGTTACAGAGGAGAGTGGAGAAAGATCTCCAGAGCCCAGGCCTTGCCTGAGTGACCCCCAACCCTGCTTCCTTCATTGTCCCCCCGCCCCCGCTCTTCTCCTCTTCTCGGCCAGATGATGTATTTTTGAAAACCATTTTGTTCAACACTTCATGATTATATTTGGTTTTTGCAGTAATCATGTGAAATAGATTACTGTTCTCATTTTATACATGAAAAAATGTCACAGAAGTAAAGTAAATCGCCAACATCACAGGGCTAAGAAGTGAGAGTTGGGGATTCAAACCCCAACCGCCTGGTTCCCAAGCCTAGCTGTGCCCATCCTTTGGAAACCTGCATCCCTCCTGTGAGCATTGCCTCTGCGGGGTGGCCCTGCTGCCTGTGCCTCCCTTCCTCAGACCATGGAGGGAGCCCTTCTGCAGGAAACTAGTCCCACATCCTGAGTCCCCAAGTCTGCTTTCTGATATCCGCATTCCAGGATCCAACCATCAGTGTCCCGTTTCAACCTTTGCAGCCTTCAAACTTTTCCAGCCGTAGCGTGGGCTCCAATCAAGAGTGTGGGAGCAGTAAAGAAGGTGGAAATCAGAACAAAGTCAAGTCCATGGCGAATCAGCTGCTGGCCAAGTTTGAGGAGAGCACTCGGAACCCCTCACTCATGAAGCAAGTGAGTCATGTCAAATATTCACTGGACTGACTTCCTGGTGACTTTTCAGCAGGAATGTTCTGGCTACTGGTAGACTTCAGATATGCCAGCCAGGCCTGGTCTCAAGGAGACTCCTTCTAGATCAGGAGTCAACAGACTTTTCTATAAGAGGCCAGATAGCAGTTTTTTAGTGCTTTGGAAGCCTTACTGTCTGTTACAACTCTGCCTTTATAGTATGAAAGCAGCAGTAGACAATACCTAAACAAACGAGCCTGGCTGTGTTCCAATAAAACTTTATTTACAAAAAACAGGAGCAGGCCAGATATGGCCCATGGGCCTAGTTTGCTGATGGTTGTTCTGCATTAAATAAATCCATTCCCTAATTTGGTTTTGCTTTCCAACCATGACTTGGTTTGCAGCCAGTTTTGAGATGATACAGTTTGAGGGAGCTTTGAGAGGCTGGCTGGCTGGGAAAGTACAAAGTCTACAGTGAGAAGATCCATCCAAACCAGAGGAACTGAGTCCGAGCTCACAGTATTGAAGGCCATCTTCCCAGGTGTTTCCTGGCCCTCCCCTCTCTCCCTGCACCAGGGTCAGCCTGGCAGGGCTGTTTTGTCTGATGGGGGTCAGTGTGAGGTTGGAGGAGACGGAATGCTGCATCAGGCTGTAGGCTTCCTCCTGACCCTGGCTCCGAGGTCTGTGCCTCGTGGTTCCGTTTGCTCTCCTGAACTTCCTTTAGGGTGCTGTTTTCACATTACAGAAGCTTGGGAAAAGAGATTTGGTTTTTCTATGGTGAACACCTGTCACATGACAGAATGAGACTCTATAGTTAATTAGCTTTAGAGGCAACCATAGATGTCTCCTTAGTCTTGATGTGGACTGTGTCCCTCCTGGGAGAACTGACCTTCTCCAGGAAGGGAAGGGATTTTATTATAAGGGGTCATTTCCTTGAGACTTGTAATTCTCCACAAATTGTCTTGATTGCCCATTCTGGAGGCTTGGTCCCTCACAGTCCCCAAGTGCTGATGAGGGCTCAATTCCATCGGAAGCACCAGAGCATCCCTGTCCTTGAGTGTGCAGGAAGCTCTTCTGTTTCCAGGTGGGCTCCTGGGCCAGCCACCCTGGCCTGGCATGGGCTCTGGCAGTGCCTGCTTAAGGCCCTGTGTCTGAGCCAAAAGCAAAGCCACCCTGGGATTCACACATTGTCCATGAGAAGGGGACTCCAGGACTTGCTGTTCACATGGACAGGGAGCCAGGGCTCAAGTTTCCCAGCTGGGCCTGGCTTGCAGGAGCTCAGCCCGGTGCTTCCTCTGCACTCGCAAACTTCGTCTCCCTGCTCCTCTTCTCTCCTCCTTCTGAGCCTCTCAATCTGACTCACCTTTTCCTTCATGTCTCCTGTGGCTGCTTTTTTGGACTCGCCTTTCTTCTCCCAGGAACGCTGTGTCTCAGGGATAGGTAAGCCCGTCCTGTGCTCTTCCTCTGGCCCTCCTGTTCACTCTTGCTGCCTCAAGCTGGAGGAGGCCACACCCAGCCCATCACCTCCTCTGAAAAGGCAGGTAGGGCTCCTTCCAGTGGATGCTGTTTTGGTGAAGCCAGAGGGGACTTTGATCCAGAGGGGTGGGGTCAGTGGCTCTTCCCACACCACAAGTAGAGCTGATTGTAGATTTTCTGGACATACCTTGATGTCACCACACTTATAGGTAAGAATAACCAAGTATGCAACATCACAAAATACATGTTATTGATCCCTTAGCCAGTCAGAGGTATCAATTGACCAAATACCATGTTCTCAATGGTGCCGCTAGGGAAAAATAAACTGTACCACAGGGTATTTTGTATGATGCCCTATGATGCTAAGCATTATTTGCAGACCATTCAAATAGGCTGATTTCCATATCAATGAAAAAGTGATGTTGGAATGGGCCCAGGTGGCCACTTGGCTGGATCCATTGAAGGGGTAAGGCTGGGATGTGGTAAAGGCCTTCCCGGTGCCAGAGTAGCTGAGGACCTGCATAGTGGGCAGGAAGGCAGCTGGCAGTCACAGAGTGTGGCTTATGGCAGGTAGTGCTCCTGGGTTTGGAATCTGAACCAAATCACCATCATTGACCATAAGCCACGAAGTTGTCTGGTCAGCATTAGGATTTGTGTGTTGCTCCCAGGTGGTGGAGGGTGAGTAAGGTCGGTGTGAATACAATGCCGCAATTTTGTCTGTCTGCCTCACCTGCGGAGCCTTAAAAAACTACCAATGTCTCATGCCCAGTCCAGAACAATCCAATCGGAATCTCTGGAGGTTGGCCCCAGAATTGGGTCTTTCTTTTTTAAGTACCCTAGATGTCAATATGCAGCTAGGATTGAGAACCAGCATTGTAGAGGTTTTGATTCAGGGGCTGGGGGTGAGGCCCGGGACCGTGTGTTGTGAATGAGGAGGCCAGGCAATTTTGCTGCAGGTGGGGGAGAGTCAACACCTGGGGCTGGTTTGGAATCTTACTTAGGGTTGCACCTGGCGCGCCCTTTGTCTGTGGTCTTCATGGGGGATCCCTCATGGGGGGGTGTGTGAAAGGGCCGCAGTAGGGAAGGAAGCTTAATTTTCCCTCTTTCCCAGTTCCCTTCTGTGGTCGTGACGGGGCATGTGCTCAGAGAGCTCAAGCAAGTGTCTGCTGGCAGCGAGTGCCTGAGCAGGCCCTGGAGAGCCAGAGCCAAGTCTGACCTACAGCTGGGTGGGACAGAAAATTTCGCTACCCTGCCTTCTACCCGCCCGAGGGCACAGGCTCTTTCCGGGGTGCTGTGGCGGCTGCAGCAAGTGGAGGAAAAGATTCTCCAGGTGAAAGACTCACTGTTTGCCCTGTCTCTGTCCACGTCTGGGTGACTTCCTTTCTTCCCCTCCCTCCTCCTACCCAGGTGGGTTCCTCCTCCCTCTGCCCACGCCCTGTCTCCCATCCTGCTGTGTGTGGTGAGCAGACAAGGCCCCCAGCTGCCTCCCTCACCTACTTCTTGGAAGCAACTGTCTCAGTCTCTGTCACTCTCTCTCTTTTCTTTCTCCTTTCTCACCTTCACTGCAGAAGAGGGCTCAGAACTTGGCCAACAGGGAATTTCACACAAAGAACATTAAAGAGAAGGCGGCTCACCTTGCCTCCATGTTTGGACACGGGGATTTCCCGCAGGTAAACATGGGGCTTTCAGAGCCCCCAGGAACCCAGATGTTGGACATCCAGCCAAGTGACCTTGAATCAGGCTCTGAGCTCAATTTTCTCCTCCTTCCTCCTTTTATAGCATGAGGAGCTATGTATTTTTCAAGCCCTCAAATAACACAAGCTGGCATCTAAAAAAGACCCAAATGCAAAGATTCAAAATAAGTAAATACATCAAGAGAAAGGGAAAACTAAGACAGGAAAGTAAACTCAGATCAAGAAAGGCATTACTAAACAGAAGCACAAGCCGGTAGACCCTAGATATTTTCCAAGCAGGCTCTGAGCTTCCTAAGGGTCAACACAAAGAGGAAACAGTCATCAGTTGCAGAATCACAGTGCCTTTACCCAGTTGCTTGTGATGTTTTTGAGTGGGAGAGAAATCTCCCTGTGGCCCTGATCAGGAAGATACTGAATGATGAGGCCAACCATATGCGGTAACTGGAGCTCTACTTCCCCATGGGATAAATTCAAGCCAACAAGAATGGCTTTGCCTTAGAATTAGGAAGTACAGCCTCCTCCAAGCCAGGTACTTATTTGGAAATTTGCGAAAAGAAGAGTATGTGCTCAAGAGGAAATGAGTTGATAATGAGATCCTGCAGGTGGGTGCATGTGTAAAGTCCTCCCTCCCTCACAGCACGCCTGTCCCTAGGACTTACCTCTCCGCTGTTTTCACTTAGTCTCCTTCAGACCTGCATCTTCTGCTACTTGGTGGAATCATTGGTGTGGGAAGGATGCTTTACACTTCGTTCATTTTTAGGATTCCACATGCCTGCCAGGACGCTAGCACAGTTGCCTGCTGCAGCTATAGAGGCCCCTGCTGTGGCCACCTGCCCTAAAGCAGCCCAGGGTTCTCCTCTCCTAAGCTCGCAGCTGCTACTTCATACCAAGCTCCAGGGTGAGGGCTTTGGTAATTGGCATTGGTGTCTGAGGCGGATGTAGGCAGGAACGGATTGAATCTACATGAGCTATTTTGGTGTGACAAGGGAGCTGGAATAGTTGCAGCTGAATTCTGTATAACCAGGAGGCAGATAATCCTTTCTGGCTCCAAAGACAGGGGTTTCTGTGTTGTCCAGAGACTTGGGTCTCCTTTCTTTGCCCCCTTGATTGCACAGGCATGGGACTGCATGATCGAGGCATGATGACCAGGTGTGACTCCTGGGATAATCCTTGTTTCTTCTATTTCTGTTCTGTGCAGAATAAACTACTCTCTAAAGGCCTGTCTCACACTCATCCTCCGTCTCCTCCCTCTTGCCTCCCGTCTCCTGATCCAGCTGCTTCTTCCTCTCCATCAACTATTGACTCTGCTTCTCCTGCCAGAAAGGTAGTTATCCTGAACAATTTGCTTTCCCCGTTGCCTGCATGTTCCCAGATGTTCTCATGCTCCACTTGACCTGCACAGACACACATCTTGAGCCTGGCTTGGCTGGAATAAAAATTTGTAAGAGATTTTACAACAGTGCTGGATTCGATTTTGTTTTTGTGTTAGAGCACACAACACGGCAGAACAGGCGGCGTATGGAAGCTTGCCAAACAGGGCTCATTCATCCAGCAAGCATTAATCAGGGCCCACCATATGCCAACCTCCATGCTAGATGCTGAGAAAACAGAGGGTAGTGCCTCTGTTTTAGTAGTGCCTCTGAAATAGCACATTAGCACAGAAATAAATGACATTTTGATGATACCAAATATCATATCACATACTGCCGAAACTTGCCTGTTTTGTCCTAATAAGATGGCAATTTCACATGATAAACTTAACATAACACCATTCATTCTATAAGAGGTATAAAGGGCAAGGTTGTAGGAATGGAGAGGGGAGAAGACTGGGAGGTAATACGGAGAAGGTAATATGGGAACTGAGTGACTGTTGAAGGTTCCATGGGGGGATTTTGCTAGAGAGAAGTTTAGGGCAAGGGCGTTTTGGAGAGGGGCTAGCCTGTGCAAAGGCAGGCAGGCAGAGCTTGCATGACATGAAAAGATGGAATGTCTGGTGTGACTTGAACTTGGGAATAAAAGCATTTATGGTGGCATGGAGAGTGGAAGTGAGTCCACTCTGTATAAAGGAATTTCATTTTATCCTCTGGGTCATAGGAAGCCACTGCAGGATCTACTCCGTTCTAGAAGGACGACTCAGTAGTGCAGAGATCGGCATGGAGGATGAGAAGAGTGGGGAGCTAACTTTGGTTAAGCAGTTAATGAAATGCACTCACGAACAATGATTAAGACTGGGATTGGGGGTGCTTTTCGTGTTTGACTTGTCCTCCTGTTGCCTCCTGTGTGGAGAACAATGCCAGGGTGGGGTGGGAGACAGTCTGTCTTCTGGGAAGCCTGGCCTCTGGAATGAATGATCTAGAAATGGGTGTGAAGCCTACCTCATGAGCTGTTGCTCATGGAGTAGGTTTGGAGTCTCTCCCACTCCACCCCGCCAACTGTGCTTCTCTGTTCACAGCCAGTGTGTCTGGCTCCCACCGAGGCTCTGTGTGTCATGCTGAATGTGCCACTGCCAGAAGGAGTGCTGGTCTGTTTCTGTGCTGTTAAACTGATGCACAAACCAGCTCCATGCTATTGCATTAGTGAAAAAGTAGAAACTGCCTCTTGGTGTGTAATTAGGGGTCCCACCCCTGTTGGCCTCCACCTCTGTGAGGAGAACGGTGTAGGTAGAGTCCCTAAGAAAGGAACAAGGAATCTTACCAGCCCCTCCCCATCTGAGGCCCCCAATGTGAATGGGAAGCACCCCAGAAACGGGTAACACAGAGAAACACACACATGATCTTCAATGCCACTGAAAATAGCCATGTTCAGCATATCAAGATCCCCAGCCACCTGCTCCAGGTCAGCCACAGGCCAGCTGTTTGACCTTAAGTCTCCTGACCTATGTGGGCCTCTTTCTCCTCAGTAAGAGTGGTTCTGGACTCACGTTCCAGTGAGCTATGTGGGTGGAGACAGGCATTTTTGTCATCACTGTCAGCAAGGTTGCAGGGTAGGCTTTTTGCCCAGTTAGGGAAAGGTGCCTTCCCCAGGCACATACTGCCTACTATGGGAAAGGGTCATGGCACCCTTGGCAAGATGGTGGGAGGGGAGAAGGCACTTGGGCACAGACCAGGCAGTGGCTTGTGCCCGTAGTTGGTCAGCCAGGCCCACACCTTGCTTCTCTCTGGCCCAGCCCCCTCTAGCTGCCTAGGGCCTTCAGGGTAGAACCAGGCAAGGCCTTCTCTTGTCCCTGCCTTTCTCTCATCCCCAGGAAAGTCTGGCTTGGTCACTGTTGGGGCCAGAACTGCTGCAAAAAAAAGCCCCTACACCTCTGAAATACCCTGACTTGGTTTCCACTGGGCATTAGATCCTTCTAAGAGGGCAGGGAGCAGCCTGCTGGGAGCATGCGCAGCTGCTGGGTAAGATAGAGATGCTTTCAGCCACTAAGCGTGTCCCCATCACATCATCTTCACTCCTGCTGAGGCCCTGCCTGCCGCTGTCTCTGGCTCTTCAGGCAGCCCTCCCCTGAAGACTCGGCTCCCTCTCAGCCATTAGTTAATTTTCTCCTCCAGAAGGGAGGCCACTGCTGATCTGGCCTGTGGCGTGGCTGCTGGCCTTTTGCCATGCTGGTAAGCTCTTGCAAGAATAAGGAGGCACTGAGCGTTTGCACAGCTGGGCAGGGGCGCCCTTCACTGGGCTGGGAGCTACCCTTTAGTCCTCCTGGGTCGGAAGAGCACTGAGCATTGCAAAAGGAGCTTTCTCCACCAGTGTCACTCCAAAAGCCAATGTGTGAACATTCATTCATTCATTCAACAAATTTAATTTTTTTTGGCGGGGGGACAGGGTCTTTCTCTGTCACCCAGCCCAGAGTGCAGTGGTGCAATCATAGCTCACTGCAACCTCAAACTTCTGGGCTCAAGCGATCCTTCTACCTCAGCCCTCCACCCCTGAGTAGCTGGGACTACAGACGTGAACCGCCACCCTCAGTAAACAAGTATTTACTGCATGAAAATCCAATGTTAGGCACTTCAGGCTGTGAGGGTATGCATCAATGAATAAGAGTTAAATCCCTGCCCTAATGAGGCTTACACCCTAGTGGCCTACAGCAATCAACATATTATATCAGTAAATTATATAATGTGTTAGAGAGCAAGACACTATTTCCTATGAAAAAATTAGAGCTGGTGGTGGGGACCTGGAATGCTGGGGAGGGAAAGGTGGCGATTTTAAATGGAGTGGTTGGGTGGGGGCTGGAGAGCTCTTCCTGTGATCGTGAGAACTGAGCAGGAGCAGAGTCACAGATAAGGCAAAGGCTCAGGGAGGAGACTGGAGCCCAGTGTTCCAACTCCCAGGCCAGTGCTCTCCTGTGTCCTGCAGAAGCCACGTGTGCATGGAGGACTTGTCAGAGGCCCAGAGGCTGTGCCCATGTAAACCCCCACACTCAGGGACAGGGAGGGCTTTGAGGTCCAACCCCAGATCTGCTCTCCCCAACTCTACAGCTTTGTTCCTTGCTTCTCCCCAGTTGTGGTAGAACAATTGCCCTATTTTTGTTCTTTTAAAAAATTCAGTCTCCCAAGCCAGCATTGGTCATTAGATGATGATGTAATTGGACTATTTTGACAGCTTCCAACATCTTAATTTTTGGCTAATGTTTCTTTCACAGTATGGCTGGGAATGGTGGAGGAACTCTTAGAATGGACTCTTGGGCAAGTCACTTAGCCTCTCTGTGCCTCAGTTTTTCTGAGTACCTACACTTGCAGGCTCATGCAGGTCACACTGTGAGTCCATTTTAGGCAGCTATGGATGGAGTGGTGAGTTTCTAGTTTCAAGCAGTCTTAGAAAGGATATTGCCAGCCTCACCCATTGCCTTGACTTCCCTCCCTCCCCAAACTCTGCCCCACCATTGATTCAGCACTGGGCTTTGCACATGCAGAATTTGGCAGAATCACAACCTTCTTTGGGGAGAGAACTGGCTGTTCCTTAAAGTAGGTGATAACTTGGTGATAAACAGATTTATTCTATCCTGGTGCAGCTCAGGAAGCTTCTGTCCTAGAGCCTGGGGTCTTAATGCTTCTTCCAAACAGATTTTGGGCTGCTCTTTTTGCTCAATTGACTCAAGTTTGCCTGAATTCAGGGGAGCAAGAGGAAGAAAAATGCACGTGGAAACTGATGGTTAGTCCTTGGCAACTTCCTGACAGGCAGCATGTCTCTGTTCCTGCCCTAGGGTCTTCCACGCCAATTCTGAGGATGCAGGAATAATCATCTCCTCATGGGAACTGACTTAGCCAAACTTACTATGAGGAGCACTTGTTACTCACAGGGATGCAAACTTGAGTTGCTGACTCCAAGACAGGGAGCCAGGGCTCTGCCTTCAGTCTCCACTTGCCCACTCTCTCAGATTGATATTCCACTTTAAAATTCAGAGTGGTGCTGTGGGTTTCTTGGCCTGAATGGTCACAGGGAGTCTTGAGGGCTCTCATGGGGAGCTCAGATCCTTGGCAGAGTCTGTCTTTCCAGGCTGTGGACTGTGAGACCTATGCCCAGTTTTATGTCCCCAGCACCATCCCATCAAACCAGCCCTCTTCTGTGATCTCGGCTCCCTATCAGCCATTAGTTAGTTTCGCTTTTCCAGAAGCGAGGCCACTTTGCTGATCTGGCCCATGGGATGGCTATTGGCCGCTGGCTGTTTGCCATGCTGCTGAGCTCTTGCAAGAACAAGAGGGCACTGAGCGTTTGCATAGCTGGGCAATGGGGGGGGCGGGGTTCGGGGGCTGGGGGGTGGCCTTCACTGGGCTAGGAATTGCCCCTCAGTCCTCCAGGGTCAGAAGATCACTGAGCATTTTAAAAGGAGCTTTCTCTACCCTTGGGGGTGTTTGTTTTCAAACTGGATTTGCAGGGTTTACTCTAGAGATTTGCATAGTAGAAGGAAACAGGGAAATGCTGGGAAGTTTTGTCTGGGGCAATCTGCCTTTGATCTGGTAGGAGGATGAATCTCAGGGACAGGTCTCAAGGCTGCCTCCAACCTCACTGTTCCTCCTCCTATCCTGGGAATAGAGCTAGGCAACCTTTTGGAAGTCTCCTGTGTGCATCCCAGCCTGGGGGGTTTTAATTTGCAGAGTGCTGGTATGGAAGAAGGATATGAGTTTCAAATCAGACTTGAGTTCAGAGCACAAATTACTCACTGTGTGGCCTTGGACAAGTTTGCGAACCTCTCTGAGCATTAGTTTCTTAACCTATAAAATGGAGAAGAAAGCAGCTACTCCTGAGGGTAACTGGAACACTGCAATGTCCTAACCTATGCAAAATTCCTGAAGTGTCCTGTAAAGCTTCTCTTTCCCCAGTGGAAGAGAATTCTGAAAGAAACCTTATTTACCTAAAATGCATGTTGATCCCTCTCTTTCTAAAGGAAAAGAAGTCACCTTCAGGGTTCCATTTTCATCCCAGCCATTTGAGAACCGTGCGTCCTCAGGTGAGTTAGAGCCTCCCTGAACTTTAGCTGCCTCACCTGCAAAGGGGGATTATCAGACCCACCTGCAGGGCTCTGGGAGTTAAGTGCAATGATCAGCAGCACAGTGCCTGGCACCGGGGATGAAGGTGGGCAGACATGTGCTTGTACTGGGAGCTCACAGCCCCTAAGGCCTGCCTGCGTCTTAGCTCTGAACTTGTAATTTCCAGACATCCTTGAACATAGTGATTTCAGTTCTTTGCCTGCCCGCCTACCCCCAGCCCTGGGCATATGGCTGAGGAATCAGGTCCAACAGGCTGTCCTCTGATGTCTTCTCATCCAGGGACTCCTCAGTGAGGATGTCCTTGCCCAAGTGGACCCGGCAGACCCCCTCTGGCCCTACCTGTCAAAAGCTCCTCTTCCTGTGAGCCCTCCATTCTGAGGCCCTGCACATTCTGCTCTCACTGCTGCCTTGCCCACGTGGACTTGCTCGATGCTCCTGGCGGGCTGTATGGTTGCAGGTGGCCAAACTCAGTAGAGAAGTGCAGTTGGGACACCTGGTAATCTTGGCTCAGTTCCAGGTGCAGGGAGGGCCGTTTCCATTGTTCTCACACAAACAGGGCCTGGAGCCTGCTTTTTCCTGCATTCACAGTATCTGCATTGTGCCAAGAATGTCGAGGTGAATAAGACAGGTCACTCAGGGAGTGCAAACTGAGGGGGAGATGGGCCAGCTCGGCGCACTGTGAGGAACGCTCTGATATCCAGACGAGGCCCGTCATATTCTATGCTGGGGTCACAGGATCACTTGGAAAATGCCTCTTTGTAGAGGTCTAGCCATCTTCTGCAGTCTCTGGCATGGGTGCGTGTGAAAACAGCTGCGTCACCATGTTTCTATCTAGATTGGCTCTGGGGAGAGGAGGCAGGGAGCTCGTCCTGTGTGGGTCATGCCATTCTTGTGCAGCGGAAAGTGATTTAAGAGAGAAGTCCTAGAACATGGAAATGTAATGCTGCACAAATGGCCGTGCTTTGTTTTAATTTTTGTGGTTATGTAGTAGGTGTATATATGCATGGGGTATGTGCTATTTGAATACAGGCATTCAATGTGAAATAAGCACATCACAGAGAATGGGGTATCCATTCCCTCCAGCATTTATCCCAGTGGCCATGCTTTGGACTCACTATCTGGCGAGTGCCTCCTGCATGGCCCAGGTTCTTTCAGGAGTCTTTTCTGCAGCCCTGCAAGGTTGGTGGTGGTCTCTCCATTTTACAGATGAGGAAGCTGAGGCTCACAGAAGGGAAATGGCATATGTTGCAAGATGATTGACCTCCTGAAATGTTCTGATTAATTTGCTGAAAAATAATTAGAATTCAAAAGGGGGGGAAAGGTAATGAAAAACACCCAAATTCTTGAAAATTACAAGAATATTGAGAGATGTATAAAGGGTTGCAAAAGCAGTCAGCAGTCCCTTCGAAATTACTAATTCTTAAATTACTAATTACTAAAATTAAATTACTAATTACTAAAAAGCAGACTTCGAAATTACTAATTCTTAAAAAACTGGTGGCTGGAACATGATCATCTCTGACTAGATCATCAGATTGCCCAACTTTGCATTCAGATGAATTGTTCCCAGCCTAATCATAAGCTCTTCTCTTGACCAGCCTCCCCAGGAGCCTGGTGGCTTGCCATCAGTGCGTGCTTCTCTTTGGTAGGAACCACTGGTTCTAACCCTGAGGTCCACACCAGGATGCCTTATCTGGGATTTCTCCATGAGTTGAGCATTTATTTCTCAGGATCCTGAGAACCTGGTGATTCCCCCAGTTGACTAGAGCAGTGCTACTCAAAGTGTGGTCCACAGGCAGGGACTGGGCTATAATCCTATGATAGCAAGTGAGAGAGAGTTAAGTGTTGGAAACTTGTAGAACCATTTGATATTGCCACACATTCAAGTGTGTGATCGTATTTCTAGTTTATTTACTTTGTATCTGGAAATAACCAGCCATAATGGATTAAATATTTAAAAAGAAAAAAACCTGTCATTAGCCACAGGTAGTTTGAGGAGCAATGAGCTAGCAGAAGCCAATTAGTTAGTTATATCCTCATTCTGAGAGCCAGTAAGGCCGTCCTGCTGTCAGGAAATAGAAGATAACCCTTGATGCCCAGGGCAACATTCACCTTCACATTGGCCTTTGGGGTGGGCTTCAAAGGCTCTCCCCTCATCCTGGGAGACAAGTTCTCCATCACCTCATTTCCCTGTGACCTCTCAAAGAAGTGCTGGTCTACCGCTTGGTGATTCTGGAATGCATTTCATCAGATTGGAAAGGGCAAGTAGGAGACCCAATACTGGTTTCCTTAAGGGTGCTTTCATTTTACTTTAAAAAAAAAAAAAAAAGAATGCTCAGAGTGGATGTGTGGGTGCCACAGGGAGAAAGGGGGCTTTTGGACCTAATGATAGGTGGAACCAGGTGTGGTCTTCATCCTGGATCCCCTGCCCAGATGACCCAGACTGTGCCCTGTGCTGTGGGACAATGGAGCAGCTCTGCAACTGCTCAGTTTTGGCAGTACCTCCTAGCAACCTCACAGCCCTCTGCATGCTTCAGTAATGCCTCCCCAAGTCAGGGTTGCTCAGAAGCTCAGTGCACAAAGTGCTTATTAGCTAAGTGGTTAATAAGATCTCATTAGGGATTTGTATTAAAAGCTCCAGAAAGTATAGTCTCTGCTTATTCAGGGAAGGCAGTAATTGTGCGTGCGTATCTTGGCATCACTGTGGTGCCTTTCTGGGAGAATACTGTGGAGCCAGTTCACACACTGGGCCAGTGGAAGCAGTCACACAAGGGGCTGGGCAGGCGGTGCTAAGAGTATAACTGACCTCCCTGACTTTCCTCCCCTCTTTATTTTGATAAAAGCCCAGGAAGTCCTTTGTATCCCCTATCTGAGTGGCCAAGTTGGGGGTCCCAGCAGGGGGTGGAACATCAGGCAAACAATGACTTATTGTCCTGAGCTATACACCTGAACCTTTCTTGGAAGCAGGGGCTAAATTTCTTGGCATTTGTGGCCTCCTGGAAATGGCAGACAGTGTGCTTGGAAGCAGAATCCTAATCCCTCCCAGGTTGGGCCACAGTAGAGGCAAAGGTGGAAGGGGGTGCCAGGCCTGACAGCTGCTCCCAAGAAGTGGCAGGCTTGGTAAACTCTGATGAGGTCCCATCTGTCTAAGTTCAAGGGGTCAGACACCCCCAGCAAGCATGCATCCAGGTCCTCTGCAGGCCCCAAAGCCACACACATGGTCTGGAGTGACCATTTCAAAGTTACTGTAATGTTGGGCTTCCTAATGAGAAAGGGAGCAAGGGGCTCCTGGGCTTTGTTCACACCAGCCTGCCAGGCGCTCCTTTTCCTGCTCAGCCCTATATAGTGCCTGTGCTTTTGCTGGAAGCCAGTGAGTTAGCCTTAGGCCCCGAGGATGGGCACTGCTACCAGGAATAGGGGAGCTGTGGTGAGCCTGTCATTTGCTTTGCAGTTCCCTGGACTCCCTGCTTTATATTTGAGGCCTTCTCTTATCAGTTTAGATGTGGCCTCCCAAGGGCAGTCTTGGGTTTTGATGGAGGTCATCATTTCACCCACACACAAGTTACTGCTATTTGGTGTGGCGATGGCTATCAACTCTTGCCCAGAGGCCCTGCAGCTTCCATTGCTGCTCTCGCTGGCCACAACTCCCAGAGGCTGGGTTCAGAAGCTGGGGAGGACCTAGAGCTTCCCTCCCTCTACAATCTTGGTATCAGGAGCAGTGTTTCTAGAATCTTGTGCTATATGTATTTGCCTCCCCCAAGAAGAGACTGCAGCAATACCAGGGTAGGCTTCCAGAGTTGGGGGTGAGGGGTGAAGGGGTGAAGGGGAGAGCAAGCTGTGGTTTGCAGAAGTGGGTATGTGTAATTGTGCCATGCTCTTTAGGCTGTCAGCTTCCACCCCTTCCCCAGCTCTCTGACACCTTGGTGGGGGTCTAGGCATTTGTAGGTGCCCTCAGGAGCACAGGCACCCACAGCCTGTCACTGGGCCATGCACCCCATGGCCCATGCAGAGCTGCTGCCTCCCTGTCTCCAAGCTGACCTTGCCCGGCGCTGGCTCTGGAGCCTGCTGCAGTCCCCATCCTGTCCCACCTGCCCAGTATGCGCTCATTTCACATACTGCTGCTGTTGACAGGGTGGGCTGTGGTCCTGCTTGGAGGGACCTAGGAGCTTCAAGGCAGGCTGGGGCAGGCTGAATCTAGAGGAGGGAAGGGAGGGAGGAATCAAGGTATAAGAAAAAAACAAAGCTGCTTCTCTCCACTCTCACACCACTCACCTTTGGTCACCAAATAGAGTGGGGATGTTTCTCCCCACCAACAAAGTCTATAAATGGAAATGTTTTCCCTGAGTTCTGCGAGCCATCCTTGCAAATTAGTTAAACCTGAGGAGGGAAACACGGTTACTGGTTTATTATACAGGATCTTATCAAGGATACAGAGGAACAGCCAGGTGAGGAGAGGCACAGGGCAGGGCATGTGGGAAAGGGTAGGCGCCTCCACGCCATCTCTGGGGCACTGCCCTTCAGGGTCCTCTACATGGTCCGCCCTCCAGAAGCTCCAAACCCTATCCTTTTCGGTTTCTATGGAGGCTTTGTTATGAAGGCATGATCGATTACATCATTGGCTGTTGGTGATTAACTCAACCTTCAGCCCCTCTGACCTCATAGGTCAGTGTATGGGACTGAAAGTTCCAACCCTTTAATCACAGGGTTGGTTCCCCTGGCAACCAGCCCCATCCTGAAGCTATCCAGGAGCTCAAGAGTCACTTCATTCCAGCAAAGGATGCTCCTGTCACGCAGGAAATCCCAAGGGATTTAGGAGCTCTGCATCAGATGCTGCTGTCAGGAAGGTACAAAGGTCTTAGGAGCTCTGCCTCGGGAACCAGGGGGCAGAGTCCAAATATGTATTTCCGATGATATCACAATATCACACAAGGTAGTCCTGGCCGAGAGCCTGCTCAGTGCCAGGTGCTAGGACACACATTCTCTCGCCTAGTCCTTCCCACAAACTCAGGAGACAGGTACAGCTCTCCCCATTTTACTAAATGAGGAACTGAACTCAGAAGTTCTGTGCTTTATGCCAAGTCTCAGCACTGGCCTGTGGTGGAGCTGGGACCGTACCCTTCCCCTGGTCTTGCTGGTCCCTGAGCAGCTGCCTGCGGCCCCCCAGGGTCAAGGGGTCTCTGAAAGAGGGTGGCCGCAGTGTGGCAGCCTACCTTTCTGTCTGAGGGGACTTGGCTCCTGATTTTCTTCTCTTTGCTTGGCTTATCTGACTCGCAGGTTTTGGGGCCTTTTGGGTAATGATTGGGTCTGAGCACCACATTTACCCCATCCCCCTGCGGAGTAAAGCTGTGAATGCCCCAGGGCTGGGGGGCAGGAGACCAGAGTACAGTCTGGAATCTTAGATCTATTTGCTAAGTGGCCTCAGATAGACCCTTCCGTTCTCTGGGATTCATGTATGCGTCTGTGCAATGAGAGGCTCAGGAACTTCAGAAGGCCTTGCACCCCGCAGTGGATGTAACAGTCCTGTGGCCCACCCAGGACTGAAAGGCTTTTGGTTTTTAATCTTTTTTTCCCCAAATTTTTTTATTATGTTAATATATACATGACATAAAAATTACCACCTTAACCTTGTTTTTTTTTTTTTTTTCTTTGAGACAGTGTTTTACTCTTGTTGCTCAGGCTGGGGTGCAATGGCGTGATCTCAGCTCACCGCAACCTCTGCCTCCCAGGTTCAAGTGATTCTCCTGCCTCAGCCTCCCAACTAGCTGGGATTACAGGCATGCACCACCACCCTGGCTAATTTTGTATTTTTAGTAGGGATGTGATTTCTCCATGTTGGTCAGGCTGGTCTTGAACTCCCGACCTCAGGTAATCCACCCATCTCGGCCTCCCAAAGTGCAGGGATTGCAGGCATGAGCCACCACGCCCAGCCAGCCTTAACCATTTTTTAAGGATACAGTTTAGTGGTATTAAATACATCCTTTGTGTGCAACCCTCACCATCCTCCCACTCCAGAACTCTTAGTTGTTGTCAAACTGGAACTCTGTACCCATTAAACAACAGCAACCACTGTTCTACTACCTGTCTCTACGATTTTGACTACTCTAGGTACCACATGTAAGTGGAATCCTACAGGATTTGTGATTTTGCGGCCACAGGGTTTTATTTATTTTATTTTCTCCATCTCCAGAATCCCCGCGGTCTGCTCCTGTCTGGTTTTGCTTCTCCTGGGTCGTGGGGTGCTATTTGCATGTGGGTGAGGAGCCCTCTCCCCATCCATCCTGCTTGTGTTTTCCTCCTGGGTGCTAACTGGCCTCTACCTTTGTCTCTGTCTCCTCTGCCTCTGCTCTTGGTTAGCTGACGGTAGGGAAAGTGTCCAGCGGAATAGGGGCTGCAGCTGAAGTCCTGGTCAATCTGTACATGAATGATCACAGACCTAAGGCCCAGGCCACCTCTCCAGACCTGGTAAGGACATGCACCCCCAGCCTTCACCCACAGACACTGGCTCTGGTATCCCAAGGCGGGCACATGGGATGCGGACAGGATGCTCTAGCCCTTCCGAGGTTCCTCTTCTCTTGGGCCAAGAGGGGGCTGAGAATGAGCTGGATCAGGGCAGAAGTTAGAGGGAACCTACATTTCCTTAAAGACAGACCTCACTCAGGTCCCCTGTGGTCTTTTTGAAAATAGAGATCTTCCTGCTGTCTGTGGCTCTGGAGAACGGCCTGGTAGAAAGGCCCAGGTGAGGCCGTGAGCATAATTGAATGGTCTCACTTTCAATGTTTAGTGTCCAACCTGAACAGACTCTTTGCATTGGATTGAGAAAAAAGTCATGGGGGAAATATCCCTTTGATTTGAATTCTCCCTTTCTCTAAACTAGGCTGCTCACTGCCGTCACCAGGAATTTTAGTTGACCACTCTTTCTGTTTCCTTTTGGCACATTGCCCTGGAATTGCCCAGGGGTACTGCTGCCCAAGCCCGTGCCCTCCCAATTCACAATTAGGACTATAACTGACCAGATTTGATGCCACAAGCTTTCCTCACCCGACCTGTGCCGCTGCAGGGGAACAGGACACCTAAAACATCCTCAGCAGGCCAGTTTCAGGACCTCTGTCCAGAACCAGGTGACACTTAATCCCAAGGACAGATCCTGGAAAGAATATCGTGGGGAGGACACGTTTGAGTAAAGCCCACTCTGTCAGACCAGGATCATTCCCACCCCAAAAACCAGAGCAGCCAACCTCGGGGGGGGCCCACCTTGTTGTCTCCGGCCTGCCTGGGAGTACGGTTAACAGCAGCCCCTGCAGGGTTGGGGTCTGGGTTGAGGGCATATCTTCCTACCCCTCCCTCTTTGCTGCAGTGGCAGGAGCAGGAAACAGAAGCCCACGAGGTCCCCAGCGTTCAGTGTGGAATTTCTGAAAGCCTCAGCCTGGCATTTGAAAGCTTGGGATAAGCCCTAATACACCACTCCTCTCTCCCGATCCCCAGGAATCTATGCGAAAGTCATTTCCCCTTAACCTGGGAGGCAGTGACACGTGTTACTTCTGTAAGAAGCGTGTGTACGTGATGGAGCGGCTGAGCGCCGAGGGCCACTTCTTCCACCGGGAGTGTTTCCGCTGCAGCATCTGTGCCACCACCTTGCGCCTGGCTGCCTACACCTTTGACTGCGATGAAGGTAACCCCAGGGGCCAGAGCAGCACTGGGCTCTGGCCTTGGCCTCAGGTGTGACCTTGACTCGGGTTCCTGTCCCTCTGGCGGCTCTAGGACACCTAACACACCCCCAAAAGGAAGTATGATGTCATCAGGAAAGCTGTTCAGGGAGACTGGGAGCTCCTGCTAGAAGGGGTGGCTGCCTGTGGTCCCAGGGAAGGGGTAGCATTAGCACTGTGGTGTGGCATACCAGGTCCTGGTGGGTACCTGCTGTGTGCCCAGGGCTCTACGTACCTCTTCTTATGTAGCCTCACCACCCTCCATTGTCCCTGTATGGCCAAGAAAATCCAACCCAATACCCTCTGTTGCATGCCCAGCACCACACCTGGCATGAAGTAAGTTTCACCATATGATGCAATGTTAATATTATTTACATAGTATGTGTCTTAAAAATAACCATCAAAATGACATTCCCTCTGATAAGTGGCCTAACAAAGACATTGATGGAGGAATCGTGCTCATTGGAACGAATGATTATTTTCTAATTTTCAGCGCTTGACATTTGCTCTGTCATCTATAACCAGAGGCAGTATAGCATGGCGCTCAATACACGCCCTCAAACTAAACTACTACCTCCTAGCCATAGAACCTTGGGCCTGTTACTTAAACAGTTTCCTCATCTGTAAAATGAGGTTAATGGTAGTCCTTAGCTCTCAGGGTGGTTGTGAGGACTGACGAGTTAATGCATGTGAAGCTCGCAGCATTGTGCCTGGCATACAGTCATTCCTATGTAAGTGTCCCTGTTACAATTTTTACTATTGCTACTGTTACCAGCATAGCAGTGAGCAAGGAAGGCTTTTCTGGAAGGTGCACAGTGGTCCTGGGCAGTGGCCAGTTTCCCAGTGTGTGCCCCCTCTGGGTCTTTTCCTCACCATCACTGCTGCCATTTGCTCTCAGCCTTTCCCACCCACCAGGTATTCCACAAAGAAAGACTGAGGGTGTTCATACTCGAAGTTGTCCATTTTGCTGCCTGGCAACTGGTCTTATGAAGAAACTTGGCCTCAGTTTGCTTTGAGGATTTTTTTTTAATGTTTTCCTATTTATTATAAAGGATGCAGAGGAGCAGCCAGATGGAAAAGAGGCATGGGGTGTGGTATGGGAGTAGGGTCTCAGAGCTCCCATGCCCTCTCCGGGTGCAGGCATGCCACCCTACGGGGGCCTCCATGGTTTGAAGTCTTAGCCACATCCCCGGGAGGGCCCTCATTGCTGGAGCTTGTCTCTGAGGCACCTCCTACCTCATCTCAGTGCCACTTCTTTAAGGAAGGTGATGGAAGCCGTTTCCCAAGTTTGAGCCACCCTGGGCTATTTCCATCGTTGCTATTTTCTGACTTGGACAGTGGTGTGCACTTGGCTTTTGTCTACTGTGGCTCTAGTTTACAGGAGAAAAATTTTTCTGTATGTGTGTGCCTCTTTTTACAGGCAAATTTTACTGCAAGCCTCACTTCATTCACTGTAAAACCAATAGCAAACAACGGAAGAGACGGGCAGAGCTGAAGCAACAAAGAGAGGTATGTTTGTCTCAAACATGCTGGTGAAACAGGGAGGGCCCCTTGATAAGGGTTTCCAGTGATCCTCAAAGTTAGGCCAGCTTTTCTGGCCCTAGAGGGATTGAGATGACTCACAGATAAAGAAGAAAAACCTCTGCTTACTGGTGTGCAGGGTTCTTTTGCTTCAGTCTGTTCCACAGCCTCTGGGGCGTGTCCCATTCCAGATGAGCTCCCAGGACGGTAGCCATGATGGCTTCTCATAAGAAGCCTGGAAGAGCTTGCCCATGTGGCAGGGATGGGGTGATATGCTTAGCCACACAAAAGCCACGTGGCCCTCTGTACCTGGAAGCCACCTGGCCACAAGGTGCTGTTTGCAAGAATGCCTGGTATAGGACCGACCCTTCTACATTTTCTAAGTCCTCTCCCAGGCTCTCCAAGTCAACCAAGTGTCCAGCCCACTGAATTTATAGATGGTTTGTGGAAGCATCTCTTCTGGCATCTCTTAGCAAATATCTTCTCTCGAGCTTGATTAATCATCTACCACTAGCTACAACTCATAACTTAAAACTTTTTTCTAATTACCCAAATATATAGGTTCAATGTAAAAACATGGGAATGAGAGAATATAAAGAAGCAAAGTTAAATCACCTGTAACCACTCTACCCTGAGAAAACCGCAGTTCACATTTTGTAACATCCCTTTCCAGACTTTTTTCTATGGGAATATATTTTAACCAAAGTGGAATCCTATGCCTACAGTTTTATATTCTTCCTTTTCTTCACTAACTGTATATCAAGAATAGTTTCCCATGACATTAAAAATCCTGTTGGAGCATACTTTTTAATGCCTTTGGAAGATTCTAGTCTATAAATGGTCAATCATTTACTTCACTACTTCTGTACTACTGGATCTTTATGTCATTTGAATTTTTTACCTTACAAATGTTTTTATAGTGTACATCCTGGTATGCATATTGTTATCCATATTTCAAATTATTTACTTGATATTTATCATCAGGAGTCAGATTTCCGATCAGAAGGCATGCATATTTTTGAAGGTTCGTGACTCTTATGGTCAGTTGGCCGCCTAGAAAAGTGCCCGTGTTCAGCACCGGCTTCAGCATGAGTTGGGGGGCTGAGATTATTGTGGGGGCTGGTTGCAGGGTCTGGCGAGTTCGGTTTGTATTGGCTCCCTGCTTGCTTTGTTTAAGTAGTCCTCTGGAAGACTTGCAGACTAATGCCCTCATGTCAATCTCTTTCTCAGGAGGAGGCGACATGGCAAGAGCAGGAAGCCCCTCTGCGAGACACTCCCACTGAAAGTTCTTGCGCTGTGGCCGCCATTGGCACCCTGGAAGGCAGCCCCCCAGGTATCTCCACCTCCTTCTTTAGGAAGGCGCTGGGCTGGCCCCTCAGGCTGCCGAGGGACCTGTGTAACTGGATGCAGGGACTCCTGCAAGCCGTTGGCCTCCATATCAGGGACAATGCTTACAACTACTGCTACATGTACGAGCTCCTGAGCCTGGGGCTGCCACTTCTCTGGGCGTTCTCTGAGGTCCTGGCAGCCATGTACAGGGAATCTGAGGGCTCCCTCGAGAGCATCTGCAACTGGGTGCTCAGGTGCTTCCCAGTCAAGCTCCGCTGACATGCCTGGCCGCCCCCAAGTGCCTTCACATTTCCAGGGAGGCTTCAGATGGCAGTGCATTTGCAGTTTGCTCAGGCTCTGGCCAGGAAGCCTAGCATTCTCTAAGCAATTAGCTCAAAGCTAAAGAGTTTCACATGGGCCACCTCTGCCTGGCCTTATCAGGGTGAACATCTACTCACGGTGCTAGGGCCAGGGACGATATGAAGGATCTTTTCTGTAGCTTTGTACTTATATATATGTACACCAAAGTGAGCCATACTTCTGGGTTTACATTTCAATTTTTTAAATTTTAATAAGCCTAGAGAAAGCATTTTTTTCTATGAGTGTCAATTTTTCTTAACATGGGTTTGAAGCTTATAACCAGTTTTATAAACCCCTTGAACATTGCAGTGAGTTATCAGAGCCACTGCCTGCAAAGTGGATGATTTAAGATTTTACACATATGAAAGTGAGTGTGCCATCTCCTGACCAGTGCCTTTTGACTTAGGTACCCAGATGCCACTTGTCAGCAGCAGGATACTTTTTACAACACGAAAGCATAATTATTTTAGAAGAAAAGAGTAGAAGGGCAGAATAGAATTCAACTTACAAAAGCAGGGAGTAGTGTGTGTTTGGTTGTTATCTGTCCCCTTGCGGGGAGGACTGTTTTGCTCCCTTGTTTTGATGTTAAATAGTAGCTTAAAGGCTTTCCCCCCGCATACCAACTCACAGCCAAATGACGAAGAACCATGGGGTTTCAACAGATTCTACAAACATGCATTTTCCCTTTCCACTAATGGGCAGTGCAGTGAAAGCCCACTAGCATTTGACCATGGAGCTGATGCAGTGCTGAAGATGAGCTCTTTCAGCTGATGGCATTTAGCCCTGTGGCTCCCAGCAGATCCCCCAGCCCAGGCTACAGGCTGAGCCAAGGCCTTGCAGGGTCCATATTGGTCAGGCCGAGTGGAGTGGAAGACTTCGCCCACTCATGTGGTGTCCTTTGAGACTGAGGGGGTTTGTTAGCACATCAGGCTATTGCTGGGAAGCATGGCCTGCCCAGTGAGCGTTGCCTGTGGACATCCTGACGGCTTAGCTGCTCCGCTGCCATGCATATGTGATCAAAACAGAAGCCGTTTTCACAATGCCCTGGGAAAGGAGTGGGTCTGACCTCCAGGGGAAGCTCTACTGTATCTTGACTGGCAGGGAAGGCTGGGAGTAGAAGCTGTTTTTGGACTGATCCAAAGGAAATATGCCTTAGTAAGGGTTAAAATGAGCATGCAGGCCCACCTACATTCTTCACTCTGGGTATCCAGAAGAGTCCTCAGCTCTCCCTGCTCCACGCTGCCTAGACATACACAGCTGCAGGGTCTGGCTGAACAATCAAGGGGCTGCCAGAGAAAGGCCATCTACAGGGCTCAGTGTATCTGGAGTTGCTGGGCCCAAGATAGCTCTGTGCAGTTATCACTAGAGATGCCTCTGGATTAACTAAGAGGTGTGCCTGGGTGTGGGTGAGGAGCCAGAACCTTTGAGAGCTTTGAGATGACAGTTTCTATGGGGCGGGAAGAAAGGAGGAGGTGCATTTCTATAAACACTTCCCTGAAATCCTTGGGAAAAATAGAGGCATGGCCATGGCCAACTCTGTGGGAACTGGCGCCTCTGTCCTTATTGGCACTGTTCTCAGTCTGATGACTTGCATTGTGTTTTCTCCAATTTTTGCTGGGATTTTAGTGTTCAGCATGGGGGGGAGGAACCCTTGATTCCTTTTGTTTGAGTACAGAAAGTAAATTCTCGAGGTCATGATGTGAATGACCATGTTATTGTGATTATCTTCAGCTCAGGATAGGCTGAGATGCTTTGTGGAGTGTTCCATGAAGCCAGAGTCAGAATCTCTAAGACTGTCATGTACAGCCATAAGGAGACTGGTTTGAATTACTGTGGTGAGACAGGGTGTGCCTTTCGGAAATCTGAGATGTTTGTATGCTCTGAGATGTTGAACCTTTCTGGTGGGCAGCACCAACACCCAGGGGTGGACCCCAGAGGGTGAATGCCTCTAGGCCTCCACAACATGTTCAAGAACGAATAGGAGACGCTAGAGTAAACTGCGGGCCGAGAGGATATCAGGGAGCAAGACGCAAACTGTGTGCATCCTCTCTTGTAAACAAGTAGCTGGTCACAACCAGAAAGGTTCATCTCGTCTAAGCAAACAGTGACTCTTTCAGAGGAAGTTTCCCTCTTTCAATAGTTGCCTTATTTTCAACTCCAGTGCCTTCTCGTGATGTTAATCATTTCCTTTTTTCCCCACACTAAGTTCTCTTTTCTATCTTTCTCTCTCTCTCCAATCTTACACCATGGCCATCAGTTCATTTCAGCCTTCCAGTGCTACACCCACTTCTTGGCTGACACACTTCTGCTCTAAGGTGACTGGTTTTCTTGCCAATTTTCAAAGAGTGGTACTAACCCCCAACCTGCTTTCCGCACCCCGTCCTCCCGGCCAGCGGTACTGGTTGTGCTAACTGTGAGTGTCTTGCATGCTGATGGACTCAAATGGTGGCATGGTTGGCTAACAGCATGAGGGAGTGTCCAGCTTGAGACCCATATCTGTGTTCATTTCCCGTGGAGCCGGCAGCCTGGTCTACCCCAAGTGCATGCCCCGCCTCTCCTCTCTCCCTTGGGCCTGCCTGTGTGCATGCTTCTCCAGTTGCACCTGTGAAGCCACCTACTTTCTTGGGAGGGTCGACCTTAATCATGAGACAGTACCATGAGGGGGCCTCTGTCACCTTTGAAAAGAACACCTATTGAGCAGCCTCAAAAAGCTCATACATATCAGCCCCTTGTTAAACTGGCTTTAATGTAAAGATTGTTAATGTCATTGATCAAAACCATAGGTGATTCTTTGGAGGGATTTTAAAAACATAATTACTCTCAGGCCTCATCCCAAGCTTGACCCATGCTCTGTAGGTTGAACACGTAATCACAAGTATTCTAGCAAATCCTGCCTTGGTTGCAGCCTGCACTGTAGATGCAAGGGTTTTGCTGTGGTTCTTCTTATGTCCCTTGGCTCATAAAGCCTCAGATGATGCCAGAGCTTCAATCAGAGCCATCATCATCCCAGGCAGGGATATCTTTGAGAAATGACTCAGTTCAGCCCCAGGCCCCTGTGACTCTGCTTAAAGCACACATTTCTGCTGCCTCTTGTACCTGGCGCAGCAGGATAATCACCAGCGTGCTCTTAATGAGAAACAACACACCAAGCACAGTGGAGCCGTCCTGGGCAACCCTCACCGGTCTCAGGCTGTGGTGGGCGTCTGTCATGCATGTGGCCCAGACCACACTGACCCCTGGGCCTGCCTGCCTGGCCCTGCATGCTGCACACTCCCTGCGCTTGTGCAGATCCTGGCCAGTACGAAGTCGTTGCTCTTGTCTTATCTTCTCTTACAGAGTCTCCCTCCCTTTATAGAATGTCAACCAAAGAGTGCCCTCCTCCCCTCTCAGCCTCCTCTTTAGCTAGCCTCCCCATCTCATCACAACGCATGTCTGTGACCTTTGGTAATCATTTACAGTGCCACACGGAACCCTGTATTTTGCACACAGCAAAACAAACAATGTTTAGCTTTATTTATGGTATTTGATGCTGTAAATGGAAATAAATATTGTTCTTTATAAAGCTCATTGTTTCCTCTCTTCTTTGCCGTGGAAGCTTCTAAAACCTCACACACAGGGATTGGTGTAGGGGGTTCATTTTCCCTAAACTGCTGGCGGGACTTGCACTTGAGGTGACACAGGACTCTCGGGCTGCGCTGGGCGCTCTGAAAGGAAATATTACCCAGGGGTAATATTTGGAAACTGTCATCAATGCTCCTGGGCCAGGCTTTGAGGTCTCTTTCTTGAACACTCACTATACTTTGCTGTTCTAGATGCTGGGCACAGTGGGTGAGGGTCAGTGTCCCCTCAGCGATTAGAAACAGACTGTATTGACAGCTATCTACACCCATTTCCACCGCACACCCAAGCGTGGCTCTACAGGAGAGCTTTCCCTATGAATCTTACACTAATTTAGGCTCCTATTTAGCAAGGGTTGGTCTTGAACACTTCATGCTGGTCCACAGCTGAGTGGCGAGTGGAAGGTAAGGAGGAAGGACTGGGCATCAGTCTCAGGATGGCAATGAAGTTGGCAGTGTGCTCATCAGATGGACAGCCACTGCCATCCTAAGAGACCTCTCCTGTCCCAAAGGCTCAGGGCATTCAGTGCCTATGGTGGGAGGCCCTGCCCTAGTGCCACCCTAAGTAGAACACTCACGGCAGGCCCTGGGCAACTCCAGGCTGTGTTTAAGGGAAAGATTTGGAGCCTCACTTGGCTAGCCTGGGCAGTGCCAAAGTCGTCTGGTCCTCAGCCTCCCCTGGGTGAGATGCCTGCCATTTCCTGGCTGGGTGTAGCTGGGCTTCTGACACTGGTATGAAAAGTCACCTGTGGACTTTATGAGGTCCCTGGCACCTCCAGATGGGTGTGCCTGAGGCTCTGGTCTCTGATGCCTGGATCTACCTTCAGAGCTACCTCAGGTCATGACGAAGGGTTCTGTACTCTTACCCGTGTGACGTATTCCCACTTCCATTCAAGGAGGGATGTTAGGAACTATAAGTCAGATGCTGGGCTGTGAAAGTGACTCATTCCTTTATGCATTCATTTATTCCGCAAATGTTTTTCCTAGGCCTATTCTAAGCCCTAGATAAAGCAGCGAACCATGCAAA